GGACCATTGATTCATGATCCCTGCTTGACTTCAGCAGACTGGCAGCATGCGGGCATTGCCACTGTACTCCTCCTCAACCTGGAAAAAAAAAAAAGATTTTTAACATCTGGACCATCAGCAAAGCTCATTTGTCATTAGCTTGATCTGGAGTAAAGGTGACTTGGCTGGGACACCTACCTCAGTGTATACTGGGGGAGGTGGAAAGTTAAAGGTTGGTGCATTCATGAAGATGGGGCTCTCGTCGCCGTCAAAGTCATCCAGGAGTGGCGTGAGGGGCTGGTCCAGGCGGCAGTCACTGGTGATGTCAGCGTAGCTGGGAGGCCCAGATGGCATCCTGAGGGACACCCAGCTTTGAGAGGCATTACTGACCGAACCCTCCTGACTGCTCACACTGTTACTGCGGCTGCCCAGACCAGCGGTTCCGATGACCAATGGCAGCTCCAGGATCAGCTTCTCACTTCCAGGGATGTGGACATAAATCTGAAAGAAGACCATGATATAGGCATTAACACTGATGTTAAATTCACAGATAATTAACAGCCAAAAGTCTCTGTGTGCAGCAGAACCTCAAGGCTTACCATCAGGGCATACTCCACACGGATTATGTTGCAGCTCAACATAGATGGTTTTATCTTCGGCACCCTGATAGTCTTTCCCTGCCAGGCATCACACATACCAGAGATGATGTGGTTCCCACGCACTGAGGACAGCTTCTGACGGAAGACCTTAGTACGCCCGTTAGCCTGGTAGATGTGCTTGGCAATGATAGCAGCCTTGGGCACCACGATCCGTGAGCAGGTGTTCTCAAACTTTGCATTGATGCAGATATCTTCCCCTTCACAGAACCCACGGCGATCAATTTTTGCATTCAGTGACACCTGGCCATCAGGGATGAACATGCAGGTGACCTTCTTCTCCTTCATTCCACCTGTGGGAGACTGAGGAGGCACAGGAGGGTGAGACCCCATGTCAAACTAAGGTAGCATTATGTCCTTATTAAATAATAGACATTACAGGGCTCAAAATAGTTGGGCAGTGTGAACCACAATATGAAATGCTGAAAAAGTACATTTAAAAAATAGATTGTTATTAACTCACCAACAGGTCTGGAGTATTGACATCCAGGGGCTCCTCCACCTCAAATGGTTTCTTGCACTCCAGGGTGGGCTGATGTGGCCTCTCAATTATGGCCTTAACATAGTATTGGACATACCCAAACTTCCCCTTGTATGACGATACCAACTGCCTGTGATAACAAAAGTAGGGATAGTGAATCAAACGTGTTCTATAAAATACAATTCTGTGAAAAGCTATGCAACCACAGACAATGTTATGTTATCAGAAAATAGATATTCTGCCTTACCCTTGCTGCGGCAGCTCAAATCGAAAGGTGTATTCGTATTTGTTGCCAGGCCTCAAGACGACCGATCCATCGGAATCTGAAAAGGGGAAATACATCTGTTCATTGACACTCTCAGTGAATTGCTTATCATTCTATCACGTTGTCTTGGCTAGTGCCTCTTATGTAACTGTTGGACACAACAGCTGCTCTAGGAATCTCCTCCATTCCGCATGGACATGGTGAGATTGATGCTTTGACCCACTGACAGCCTGTCCGCTCATACCTCACTAAGTAGCACGATGGACACTTCATATAAACAACAATTCATTACAACACGAGGTTCGTCCCTATGACACCGATAGGTATATCGCAGTTGTATTAGATGTAAGGGCAGAAATGGTGGGAGAGGAGCCTGTCCATACCTGTCGGCTGGTCGTCCAGTTGCAGGACCTGCTCATATCGGAGGTACTCGGCCTCCTGTCGACAACGCTGCTTGCCTTTCGCGTATTCCACTTTTGCGCAGCCCAGACCCAGAACCTTCACTGCGGACACACGCGTAACCTCGTTCACTTCCACTTCTATCCGGCCGCACATCTCGTCTCCGCCGCAATAAAAAGTCTTGCTGGGATCGATAAAAACGATCTGGAAGGTTTTCACCCTCCTGGTCATGGCCACCATGACTACTTCTGGCTGATGCGGGGGACAAATGTAAAAACGGAGGTGCACTGACGCGCTCACCGATGCGATCTCCACTGGACTCTGATGTAAACAAAGGCTAGGTGTTGGTTTTATATGACGAGCCTGGGCAGGACACGAGCAGCCAGGATGAACAGCGTGGCTCAGCGCATGCACACCGCTGCCATTGGTGGAGAATCTTTGTTTTCGTCAGCTCTAGCCAATCAGCGCCCGAAAGCGACGCGTGGACACCGCGTGGCTTCGAGAATGTAGGACGTGCGGAGAAAATGCACAGGAAGTGGAAGGCAGACTGAGAACAGAACATTTGTAGTAAACAGACAAACCAGGGAAGTTTCTCTCCGACTAACCTCTCTCTCTCTCTCACACACACACATATAAATGTTCATTTAGGGCGTTTTTACATCTTAAACATGATGATTTTTAACATGTTGTTTTTTACATCTTTAACATGTTGGTTTTTACATCTTTAACATGTTGACATGACTAAAACCGAGGAGCCTGTGGTCCATAGACCCGACGACACGTCTGAGTCTACATTATGTTCATTTTTTTATTTTATGCTTTGATGATTTTAAGATATTGTAGCAGACTAATTGTGGCAAACTGGCACATATACAGTACCTCCAAAACACTGGCTTTGTAAAGGAATCTGGCTATTTTATTGTGCATTTATTTGCTATTTTCCTTTGCTGTCTCACAATGTGCATTATTAGCCAACTTTAACTCCTCATGAGCATTGTGCATATGCAGTATACTATATTTTTATAGTATACAATATAATACTTTGTTAGCAAGATACATTTTGTGATTCGATTTTAATCAGCATATAAGACCGGGTTCAACCTGGATTTGATTAAAAAGAGTGAAGGTGATGGTAAAATGAGTCTTAACCTTGACCTAAACAATCTTCAGTCAAGGTCAACTTCCAAGCATATTTTGGAGCTTTAAAATGTATGACACGGACCACGTGAGCGAGTTTCCTCTGTTGCCACAGTTAACAAGAAAAGAACTGCAGAAGTGAAACCCTTGATTCTGAGGCCTTCACATCCATGATGACGGCCGCACTCGTGACCTTGGAAATGGCAGTGGACGATACATACATTTATGTACTCGCCATCATGCTCCATATGACCATCACACTTGTTGTATGGCAAGCTTGGATCTCTAACTTACTGTGGCAGATGCAGTCTCACTCTCATTTTGTTGAATCTTTTACTAGGGCCAATTATACTATCAGGTGACATGATATGGGCATTGGGTTGGATCCTGCTGTAATACCTGATCTTCCATACAGGTGATCTGGGCTCAGGCAAGGGAAAGCTGTACATGCTGCAGAGTGGCTGAGATGGGTTGGTAATAACTTTTACCCCAGGAAAGGTGACTAGTTTTACTGTGTGTATGTTTGAGCTAAAACTTTTATGTTTATGCAAAGATAGAGTTATGACTGGGCTGTTTATAATAATTTACTGTATAGTAATAACATCAGTTCACCCATTGACCATCAGTTTTCCCTTGGCCCTGTCTGGCTGACAGCACACAGACACACACACACATTAGAAGTTTATCAATACATAAAGGAGATAACAGTAGTCAGTGGGTAAGATACTGTACCCCAAATTGCCCCTTCTCATAGAGAGAGTGCTGCACATAGATGCTCAGTATGAATGTGTGTGTAAATGGGTTAGGGTTCAATTATAAATAGGTTGCATACATATGAATCAGACGGTATTAGACATCAGCTAAAATGTGTGACGCAGGTTACAACCTTCATAGCTTTATAACTGTTTCATTTGTAATGTTTGCAGGGTGTCTTGTGACCAGCACAGCCCTCTGTTGTTGCTGAGGGCTTGGACTACAAACTGTTTCAGATGTGATCAGAGTGCTTGTTCCCTTCAGTGAACTTTCCCCCAGTTGTTTCTAGATGCTGTCACACCACAAGAAATATTTTCCATCATTAAATCTTCTGAGGGTTTTTGCATCCAAAAGTTCTGGTTCACCCACTTCTGCTGGAAAAGACCACAAAAAATTAACATAGCTGAAAAATAACGTAGCTGGGGTCTTGCTCCTGTGTAGGACGTGTGGAATTATTACATAAGCGTCTCCCAGCCTGGATTGTCTGATGCCACATATACACCTGTAATTTCAACAACACATAGGGTTTGAGTGTACTATCACACAAACGTCAAGACTGGCCTCTGTGAACAGGTAGCTATGATGATTGGGGAAATAACTGTGTAATTCCCTTGGGAGGCAATCAGTAAACAACAAAGGACCAATGGATCTGATGGGTGCAGGATCATCAGCCAGCAAGTCAGAAAGTGACTCTGACAAATCAAACAGCTGCAGGTGGGTGCTGTAATGTGCAATAAACACAACCTGTTGTGGGGGCCATTAGGTCATACATTTCAGGATTTACTGGTTTTAAGAAGAGCTAAGAGCTGAAGGTTCTTTAAATTGACACATCACAAGGTAGGATTAACATCTTGTGACACAATGGAAATGGCCCTTTTTCCAAGATATCATGTCACCTGAGCTCTTCAACAAAGGCCAGTCACAGTTAATAAAATCATACTGCTCCTCTGTGGAGGAAATATGCTGTTACAAGTGGAGACCTGGATTTGTCTGCATCACTGAGTCAGTGTGACTTTCAGTAGATCTTGTAAGAATCCATATTTTAGATCTTTAAAATCAGAATATTTACTGCCAGAATCTGTGCTCCCCAAATGTACTATTCAAGTAAAATGCCAATATCTTTCTAACCTGTGCAGCCTGAAAAAAAACCTTAAGTATGGCTCGCTGTACTTAACCACCGTGGATCTCGGCACATCATTAACCAGCTCTTAACTATGGTCAGAACTATAGCAGGTTAATAGAGTCAACAGCTTGTAGCAGGGAACTGTACAACTGCACCTTTCAACACATTGATCGAATGTTCACATTAAGACAGACAGTGTGACTTGGGTTATGACACTTTATTGGGTACACAGTAGAAACAGGCCAAATAACCTGCTATAAAAACATTCAGTGAATACTGAAATCACATCAGATTTTGATGAACAAATTATTCAAGTTGAAAATCTTAACTGGTGTATATTGTAAAATTTGTTGAGAACAAAATGACGTGGCAGTCAAACCAAAATGTCCTGTATACACTCCTGACAACTGGGCCTGCTCCTGATGAGTTGGAGGATGGTGTACTGGGGGATCTCCTTCCAGACCTGATCAGGGCACCAATGAGTTTCTCGACAGTCTGTGGTGGTAGTTGGCGCACACAACATCCTATAGGTGCTCAATTGGATTTAGGTCAGGGGACCGTGAGGCCATTCAATGGCATCAATGCCTTCATCATCCAGGAACTGCCTACACACTCTGGCAACATGAGCCTTATGCTACCAGTAGTGACATGGACACTATCAACACAAAACTAGGATCAGCCAGGAATGATAAAGATGTATCAAATGTCTGTGGCCTCCACATGTAAAACCGTTGCCTTTTTGGGAGTTGTCTTGCTTTTACCTCTCCATTGCACCTGTTGTCAATTTCATTTACACCAAAACAGGGGAAATCGATTCACAATCACTTGTGCTTCCTAGATGGACAGATTGATATCCCTTAAGTTTAACTGATTGGTCATTATAATATGACAATTAAGTGCTGCGTAGTGTTTTTAGCAGTGTATGTTACAATACTGGGAGCCGATTTTAGTTGTACGCTTCTCAGAAGCAACAGTTATTTTTATTCCTGGGTGAGTGACAGCAGCTTCGGGTAGACAGGTGTCCTCACAGCTGCAGCATCTTGCCATTTCTGAAATTAAGCAAAAGGTTACACTTAGAACACCTAGCTCATCGGACACAACTTCTACCAATGCAGTACTTTCATTTGACAATGACACACATCAAATAGTTTGCAGACAGGACCATAAAAGGCAGTAGAGCAAAGGTCATGTTCCCAGTAGGTTTTCTCAGCAAGCTGCTGCAGAAGCCTACTGGAGTGGAGTTTGTTTTCTGGTCAATTCCACAGCAAGTCAGGAATGATTAGTCCTGAAAGCCTTGGTATATGACCACCTCTGTCACACACCCACACCACCTACCTGATAGTGAAAGGCTGCTGACCATCAAGTTGTTTCTTGAAGATTATTTCTGAAAGAAATGAGTTATATTTCAGTTATTTTAGACTCATTGTACATTCTTAGTTTCAAAAATCCTACATTAACAATGTCAGGACGGGTAACTAATAAAAGAAAACCAGGAACATACAAGAATGCTTTCTATTTGACTTGAATGAAGTCATTGTTTAGCCTTCTGCATTGCTGCCACCAAGTGGACTAGAGTGGAACTGCTTGCTGCTTACATATCAGGCTAATTTGCTTAACCTTCCCTGTTCTTCACACTGCAGTGGAAATATCAGTGAACAGAAGTCTCCAGGAACCTTTTAGTTCCATATAAAAGTTTATAGAACTACAAGTTGCAGGTACGTTTTGTCAAACAAGTGCATCATTACAAGCATACAAATTGGTTGGGCAAGATCTTTTGCTCCAATGGTACCCAAAGGTCTGACTTCTGATATGGACTGACTGATCCCTGCCCTGTCACATCTTAACAGCAAGGAATGGGCAAACTTACGACTGAAAAATGATTTTGTATAATACATCAGCTTAGAACAGACAAAGAATTTGTTTTAAAAAAGGAAGCAATGAGTCAAAGCCAGTCTTCTGGCATAGAACATTGACAATTCAGAAAGTTCTGTGAGAGGAACCATTTCTCGTTTGAGACAGAGGGCACCGTCTTTATGCTTAACGTCAAACTGGCAGAATACTGTCACATCTGTTAATTGTGTTCTGCAGTTATATCCCATCATGCTCATGGTATTGATCATGTGGGTAAAGCGAAACTACAGATTTACTTTCTGAGGCATTTCCAACGACATGGCCCTACAGTTAAAGGTCTGTCGGGATAGACCTCAGCATTCATTGGTGGAGACACCTAGGCAATCACTTCGAGCTAATTTCACGTCAGTCACCTGCTGTTGTTGTTGAAGCCCTGCTCACGTCCAGGATCAGAGGGCCATTCTTTGTTGCAGCTTAAACCTGGAGAACAACCAGGATGTTAAGTGTCTGACAATCAGCTCAGTTTATCACACAAAAACACTTGTAAAGAAGAGCCTGAGTGTGTACTGCTTGGTCAGCACTCAAACTACTTTTACTCTTAAAATTGTTGGGGTGCTTCACTGTGAACACAGGAATTTGCTGGACACACATGAATATTCAAAGATTGACTCAAGAGTCAAAAACAACTTTATCTGAAGATGTGAGGTGAGTGTCTCAACGAATATACCGGGACTCCAAACACAGGCAGCATGGAGACCAACGATGCCAGATGTTGAGTTTTTCTAGCACTGACTTTTGAACAAACCAGCTGATGAAACAACTGGCTGCAGATACCACACAGTGCTGCCCCTTTGAACATCCAACCAGTGGACAGATACATTAAACTCACAAAGACAAACCCACTTACCACTGTCACAAGTTCTTGAGCCATGTTTCTGCCATCACAGTGACCTTTAAGACAAACAGCAACTTTTAATTTCAAACAAAAAAACCCACTTTAGTACAAGACAACCCCAGGCTCTCAATATCTAGTTGGATAAACTTGATGAAAATAAAGCATTACCATATATCAAATAAGCATTAATGGTGTCTGACATGTACTGCACCTTTATTCATTCAGAATGTATCTTTTTTGTATCAGTGTTTCTTCTGTCACGTATTTGAAATGCCAAAAGCTGACATTTTCCTCCTGTATTTTTACACAGACATTTCCCAGCCTTTTAACAGGGGAACTGGCAAAAGATACAGCAAACAAAGAGCAACTGACTGCCATTTGCATTCTCTTGCAGCCTTCTTGGAAAATGTCAGAAACCAGTTATGGTGATGTGACAAATAAATGCTACCAAAAGCCCTGCCTACCTGCAACTAGTCAGACTGGCAAAATACTGTCACATCACTGCTCATTGTCTTCTGCAGTAATATACCACAATGCTCATGGTATTGAACATGTGGGTAAGGATAATTTACAGTCAGGCACTTCCAACAACATGGCCCTACAGTTCAAGGTCGGTCGGGAGAAACCTCAGCATTCATTGGTGGAGACACTTATACAATCACTTCAAGCTACTTTCACATCACTCACCTCCTGTTGTTGAAGCCCTGCTCATTTTCTGCCCTGTCTGGGATTAGGAGGCCATTCTTTGTAGCAGCTCAAACCTGAAGAACAACCAGGATGTTAAGTGTCTGACAATCAGCTCACGCAGTTTCTCCAACAAATCATCCTCCAGTGTGTAAAGCTAAGTCAGAGCTTTGAGATATTGCAACCATAAGTGTAGGATGCACACACAACTAAAAAAGCATATCTGTGGCTACAGCTGAGGCATTTAAATAACTTTTTTTTTTAAAGCACTGCGGTAGAGTTAAGTTTTGATACTAAGAGAAAGCAGGATTTGTGAACTTTCTCTTTGAATCATAAAATAATTTTTATCCAGAAGTTCACAGAATGATGGACGACAATTTCTCCTGCATGTTGACACTTAAAAGGTCCAGTGTGTAAGATTTAGGTGAAAGGGATCTACTGGCAGAAATTTAATGTAGAATAATCCTCATGATGTTATTACTAGTTTGTTTCATCTAAATTGTATGAACTGTAGTTTTCTTTACCTCAGAAGAGGCCCTTTATATTTAAATACTTTTTATTTACATCGAGGGGACCCTCTCTACGGAGGCTGCCATGTTTTTTTACAGTAGTCCAGACTGGACAAACGAAACCCTGAGTTTTTATGACAACTTAAGGCCAACACATGTTCTTTTTCATGTTTGGAAGGAGAGGGTGAGGTGAGGAGTATTCAGTTGCAACATGCAACTTCACCACTAGATGTCACTAAATTCTGCACACTGAACTTGAGGGATTCTGAGGTGAATGTTTCAATGAATATACCGGGACTCCAAACACAGATGGCATGGAGACCAACGATGCCAAATATTGAGTTTTTCTAGCACTGACTTTTGAACAAACCAGCTGATGAAACAACTGGCTGCAGATACCACACAGTGCTGTCCCTTTGTACTAATACACAATCCTGCAAACTTCAACATACCTGACAACAAAAAAAGCTCATGGAATAATTGACAACAAAACAGGAACCTTTTATATATCTAATTGACTAAACTGAAAATGTTCAGAGCCAAAATTCTTGCGTTGAGGTTCATCACCATAAAATGTTATTCAAGTGAAATATTTTCATGTAGAGTTAAGTCTAGATTGTGCTTTCATGCAGGTGTATTTGATTAATTATTTACACTAGTCAATTATGGTTATCAGTCATTGTATTAATAAAGCCATTATTGTATGTAGTCACCTGAAGTCCATTATATTGAACTTCATATCTCTGATCGGTAATTTTATATTCTCAACCAATTAGAATTCAATAAGATTAACTAGTCCTGTTTGGTAGAGGTCTGAGCTCTTGGCACATTCTCTAGTAATTTTCTCATATTGGACATGACATGGTTACAACCAGGAAGCTTATTTATGGCAAATTCTCAGTTGTTAGGGTTAAGTCAATGTTACTTACATTGTGTTGCTATATTAATGCTGAAGGTCAGGGGGGTGAGAAAACCTGCAGGAGGCAAAGACAGGAGGATGAGGAATGCGTTTCCATGACCATCAACATATTAATGTTCATGCAGTTTCATGTGTTCAGAGAGGCAATTGTCAATCACACTTCAGAGCAGTTGAACATATTAGCCAATCATCATAACACATGAACAGTAGTTATTGTGTATTGTAACTTACCCAGATGGCCCCACATCTTCTGTAGCACCTGCATGACATTGACAATAGTTTAAAGTCACTTCTTTAAAAAAAATTATCTTAAACAGATGTCAATTCCCATTAGTAACACTGCTGTAGATTCAACAGCAGTGGGTTGCAAGAGAATGAATTGCTTTATGCACTGTATGCCCTCTATAGCCCATCTGAGAGGACCAGAGCACATACTGTGCAATTAATACTAGAACCATTTTTCATTTCATGAAATGTAATGTGTACTGTCAGGGTTCTACATAGTTTGAAATGTTCTCTAAACCCTTCGACTCTGTTCAGAGCTGATATTAACATGATTCTCAGGTGATCCAATATTGTGGTCACTAGAGACATTCTTCTGAGGTGTTTTGAATATATGTTTTTTTTATGTTTGATTCTGTGTATGATGGCAATTGTAATTGGTCACACAGATTTTGTGACAACTTTAATAGGCATTTTACTTCTACACGTCAGTCCTTTACAATAAGAACAAAAATCTTTGTTGGACAAACCAACATGTCCAGGTTGTCACTAGGGACTGAGGTAACTAAATAAAAGGTTAGACAGTATGTTTGGACCAGTGAGCAGCCTGTGCCAGCTGGGCCCTTAGGTCTCACCACACAGGCCTATGCTATCATAAGTTAAGTTATCCAGAAACCAAACACTTACCTCATGTCTCAAAAGATCAGCGGTGTTGGTTATTTACTCCCCCATCACATTGAGGACCAATGCCATGACCTGCAACATGAAGAAAAAAAGGTTGGCTTAATTCTGTTAAAACAGGAATTTACATTCCAGTACAGCACATTGTAACCCAATCAGGAATACAGTGCATTTTCAAGGAATTCCTAAACTGAATTACAGGGTGAATGTACCAGATCTCATTGTCACCATTCAACAACCAACAGTGCAGAGGTGAAAGCAAAATCAGACTTTCTATAGCCACTGCTGTCTTGGGATCGGCCCACTGCACAGGACTATCCCACTGACTGGTCTGCACTGTGGCGGTGGTACAGGACACTGATGCACATATAAGGGGGTTTCCATGATCAACTGTTACAGATCATTTTAAAATGGACACCAGTATTTGACTAATTTCAAACCATCCAGTGTTCTATAGACGTTATCTGAAAATATTGTGTACATCTCATATTAGCAAGCGAAACTTCAAATGTGTGTTGAGAAACGGGATTCACAGTGTCTGATAGGCGCAACATGATGTCCTGTCTATTGGTTTAGGAGCAGGATAATCTAAGGAGCCTTAGTGAGTTAGGTCACCCGGGAGAGCTGGAACATGTTGCCGGAAGGATGGACGCGTGGCCGTCATAAATTGGAAGGCTAGATGGGTGATCCATGAAGACAACATTTTGCATGTTCCGATTACACTTGGATACTTCAAGTAGACACCCATTCCAAACGGACACTACGTGAATGCTAAGCTGCTGAAGTGGAGAAACAAGGATGAGGAACGTGCAAAACTAAAACTGTTCTAATGGGACTTAATGATGGCTTCTCTGTTGAGAGCAAATGGTTTGAGAGTAAAAAAAGACGTTGCAAACTTGCGGTACGGCCGCCTGGGCTCTATGAATGAGTAAGAAGCCTTTAGCCACATTGCCTCAAGCTAACTTGTTAGCTAGCTAGGTTGCTACATGAGGACAACGTGGTGCCGTGAGTGGGACGACCAAGGTCTAATAAAACCAACCGTACCTCAGCAGAGCGGCCATGTGTTCAGTTGTTCTCCATGTTCTGCTCAATGTTTGCTGAGAGTCCGATTACTAACGAAGTTACTTACGTTGATCTTCCACATGCAGGCCCATGGCTCCCTCACGACCAGAGCAGACTTCAGAAAGGAAGTAGGGGGGTGTCGAAAAAATATTTATAAGGGTGGTTACGTCAGTTGGAACTGCTTTTTGGCAATCAGCACTGCGTTCAGGGCAACTCGGAAATCTTAAAGGCAGACGTTTTATATTGACAAATAATAAAAACGATGCTCAAGCTGAGCAAAGCCACAAGACTTTTAAGTATATCAATAAATAACATCACCTCTTAATAGGTTTATAACGACAAATATTTTAATACACAGCTCATCCTCGAGACATCTTCTCACGCAAACAGTGGGATCTATAAAAACAAACTTGATGAAGAATATGTGCACAACATTTTGAAAACAGGGAAGTGGCGATGCAGAGTGAAGAGGTGAATTGAAGCAAAAGCAACAGTGTGTGTGTGACCTTTAACCTATGGAGTGAGGACATTATGGCCGGTCCTCACCTTGTGATCCCCCTTTAATGGACTGTTTGAGTGTTAAGACTTGGTTTAAGGGTTAGGCATTTGGTTTGGATGGTTAGGGTTAGGGGCTAGAGAATGCAATGAGTGTTCTCACTAAGAAAGAAGTGTATGTGTGTGTGTCGCTGAAACATGACAGTGCTGTCAGGCGCACTGGAGACAACTTACAAAGAGTGTGTTCACTTTCAAAATAATGTCCCAGAGTGGAGTTTAGGACACAACTGATGTGTAAAGTAATCAGATAAACATTAAGTAGCGGATTGAAGGATTAGTTGCAAACAAAACGTTTAGCAACTATGCTGTTTTTGTGTCACATGACGATGACTGACTCATCAACTGGTATAGATTCTACAGAGCTGTTGTATCTGTGCTGAACTGAGTGCAGTATTACACAGACCGACCCAAACCGAACCTTCCCAGTACAAACACAAGAACTCACCACTCTGGTTCCACTAGTCGACAGATGTGTGTGATATGATTAACACTGTGTAACATTTATCTCTCTGCTTAAATGATTTTCCCAATGTAAACCGCTCAGTGTGGTTTGGTGGTGCAGTCTTGCATCAGCTGTTTTCTGCTTTTTTCACATTTTTGCTCCAGAACCTATTTCAACGTGTTCATGTGAAGTGTTGGCAGAGGTGAAACAGATAACTGCCTCACCACTTCACCAGCTCATGATCATGCAAAAGATGCCTGTTAATGTATTAACCTCTGCAAGGTTCGTCCTGCAACAGGTAGATGCTTGAGCACACTTGTAAAGACCAATTCTCAAATAATTTTTATCCAGACATGAAAACAAGACAGAAAACACTTATGCAACAGATATAAGAATTTTTTCTGAGTAAAATACAGGATTTGGCATTTTCCATCCAAGATTATTAAAATAAGGAGAAAAATATCTTCCCTCACCAATACAGAATACTATCAACAGAAAACCACTTCTCTTTAAAGGCTCTTGAAGTGTGGTAATCACCCAAAGGACCGATTTTTTCCATGTCAATTGGGGAAAGATCACTTTGGGGGCCTACGTTTTCAGACTTTGACATTACTGGCTAATTTAATATGAACTCTGATATGAACATTCCAACTTACTACATTTGTGCTGTGGTGGGCATTTTACTCAGGGCGCATTTGAAAATCTTTAGTCATGACACAAACTGACACAATTCAACTTTCATTAAAACATCATTTTACTTGCTTTGGGTTACGTCATACAAATGTTCTCAAGTACAAGTTCAAAATGCCAACACTCCAATAGAGAATGCAGACAAGTGGAAGATTCAGCAGAACTAAAGACGTCTAAGTACTACATCTTTCAAATACAAAACAAAGACAAATGGATACTTGGCTTAAAGACGTTTTGCTTACATTCTTTTTCAACAACATATTTTGGAAAGTTTTGCATTGCAGATATCAAGATCAGCCAAACGATGAATCCCCAAAGGTCTTAGCACACCTACAATAAAATCAAATTTAAAACAAAAGGCTTTTTAAAGAATACAAAAACGTAATTCAAAACTGCTTTAAAAAAAAAAGTTAACAAAACTGTTTCAGGACATGTAGATTATTACAAGATAACAAAAATGTGTATAAACAGCAGGGTTTGTAATGTTTAAAAAGGTCCCTTCACACAGTTATTCCAGAATGAAAACTTTTGCAGGGAGCTGGTTGATGCAGAATTGACTGGTGGTCAGTGCACTCAGATGACAACTTGGATGTCCTACTCCAAGTCCTGGACTTTCACCACTCTCATCTAAATTATGATCACAATCATTTCTCGCCACATCAACACTACACTGTATGTGAGTCCAGCTGTACAGATCTGCCGTAACTCTATATGTGCTTCAGGTTCAGAGTCCTTCAGGGTCACTCCATACTGTCTGGGTCCGCCTGAGCCATGTAGGCATCCAGTTCAGCATCCAGGTGACCTTTGGTCTTTGACATGTAGGCGTCCAGCTGGTTGTCCAGTTGTTCCCTGGTCACAGCTGGCCGGCCGACACCTCGGCCACGCCCCCTTCCGCGACCACCTCTACCAGCAAAACCACCACGCCCACGTAGTCCACCACGGCCTGTAAGTAAATGTGAACACACACAAAGAGACTTTGAGTTTGTCCATTTTATACAGAGTAAATATGCCGTGAAAATGAAATATCTTTGTACGTTTAAATATTAAAGAAACTAAAACATTATTTGCCTCTGACCTCTGAGTGTTACTCCTCCTCGAGCTGCTCCTCGTGACAGGGCCCCTCCTCTGCCAACAGGTCCTCCACGGTGGCGGCCTCCTCTACGCATTGCCAGACGGCCAGCAAAGCCACGGCCTCTCATGGGGACACCTGTAGCCACTCTCTTCCCTGTGAAATACAAATCATATCATCATTCTAAGAAAAATCTAGTCATGAGAATCAACACAGTTGGAGCAAGAGCCATGTTCATGGGTGAGATACTGGGTGAAGTTGTGGATAAACACCTCTCAGGGACAGGGCTCCTCTCATTACTCCTCCTCTCGCTCGTCCTCGGAGGTTTCCCCTGGGCATTCCCCGCATCCCCCCTCTACCTCCAACTGCTCCTCCACGGATTAGAGCCCCGATAGGTCGGCCCAGCCTGGCCTGGATGTTGCTCTTCCCTAGGCGCTGCTTCAGGCTCTGACGCAAATTATTCATCGGTGCAGTTAGAACAACATTTTATCGTCAATATTTATCATAGAATGAAACTGAATTAGCTTTATAACTGCTCAAGCATGCACTGCATGTTGCCTATTTCAGGGGTGTGTTAAGCAATCAACCCAATCTTCAGACCTAATTTTTCAAAATGAAAGCTCTATAATTCAGCTCAATATGAATATTGGCTTGTTTCCTTCAGGAGCACCACTTCAGGCTTGTTTGCGTTGATGATCCGGTAAGGTGGTTTCCTGTGGGATGCCCACTAGCTAACCTGTTTACACGGGCACCCTGCACATTAAGACATCATCCTGCAGTAGCTGCAGGGTCAGTTACAACCTGGCCCTCTTCCCCTACTCTCTCTTACCATTTACTTAGCATCCTGTCAAGAAAGGTGGAATGCCCCACCCCCCATTTGTTTTTCAAAGTGTGAAGGACCGCGACCAGCCAAAACGATGCTGTGCCCCAGCAAAAATGGACAATTATGGTGCACACTACCGCATGCAATCACTGTATGATTAGTCCCTTCCCACAATATTATGGAGTACACCATTTCCTCTACATATTGCCAGTTATCTGCGCTTCTTCAAATTATTTTTTAAATAAATAAAAAAAAATAATGTAATCATATAATACAATGAAGACATACTTCAGAGTAAAATTCGAGCTTAAGCTCTAAATCTAAAAAGTGAGATTATATAATTATATTGACCCAAATAACTTGGCCCAGTCTCAGCACTGAGACGCTTATTCTAGGACAAACAAGTGGAAGGTCCATAATACAGACATTCATCTGCAACTAACACAGTATTGTTACACTAAATAACAGAGTTAAAAGGTCTGCCGACTCCGCTTGTCTCATTTTCGGCCTCACCTGCTTGTGATTCAGAGCAGCTTGCACTGAGGGACGGTTCTCCATCTGCTGGGCCAGCCGGCGATTGCGGGCACTGGCCAAATGCTGCTGTTGCATGGTGGCTCGAATGCTTACCGCAGTGGGCTGCTTGTTCTTCAGCATGTTAGTGAAGCTTTAGAGGTGGGAGGGAAAAAGAGGGAGGAAGTAAAAGAAGGGGACAAGGGATATAGAGAGGAGGAGGAGGAAGCAGGGTTCCATATCAAGTCATTTCTCATATCACGGATGGAGCCACACTGACTGGTGGCTCATGTCATGTAAGACTCATGTTCCACTTCTTGGCACACACTCTCTCTCTCTCTTTCTCTCTCAATGAAATGACAGTAGAGAAATATTTATACTCGAATTTAGCATGTGTTTTCAAATAAGCACAAGAAGACAGGTAAACTAAGATAAAGAACAGAATTTCCAGAAGTGAAGGACAGAAGCAGGAGAAGGTGCCAGAAGAGGAGCACAATTTGTCACTTACAGGCCTCCAGCTGACTGGCTGGGATGTCATCATGCTGCAGCAGCAGAGGCCCTGGACGTGAGGAGTGCTTGGCCACCCAGCCACTTACAGCATGGACCGTGACTTATGGCTAAACCACTGTGAGACTCAGAGCAGGGAAGGAGAAATGGGAGAGTTTTGGGGAGCTCTTTGTCACGTCCAAGCTAGGACTGAGTAACCAGTGTCTTATAGACTAGGAGCAGAGAGGAGAAAGATGATGAAAGAACAGGAGAAAGGTTTGACTGCTGCACTTGCAATGGTTTGAGAGAGAAACGTTTGAGAGAGGCAGAAAAGTAAGGGGTGCCCCATCTCCCTGGTGTTGCTGAAGCCTTCCTCTCCACTTTGAATGAGTATACTTCATGTATACTGTAGTGTAACATTTACAGGGAGCAGTAGTGCCAAGGCATTTGTAGGACAGTGGTCTGGTCTAGCATAGGCTTACCAAGGCTTACCAAGTATGACCACTACCCTCTCCCCTGAAATATGTATGCACTGCTCACACAAGATAGTTGGCCGAGGTGAGGCTCTTTGCTCCCATCACATTTAACTCTGTGGGTACCTCAACAAATGTTGGCAACGAAGTTGAGCAGGCAGTGCACACATTGAGGACAGTTAGAATAGCATCCATGTCGGGTCCGGTCCCCAACAGAAGCCTTCCGTAGAGAGACCTAGAACCTTCGCAAGCCAAGGATGGCCCTTGCATCTGGTGTCTAAATGCTGACATGGTGCGTGGCGTCTCACCGCTCATTTAGGGACACTTTGGTGGTGCTTTTCAGGACAACTTTTTGAGAGGAGGGTGCACTCATTTTGACAGACTTCGCTTTCAGGCTTCCTGGGTAAAGACATGAGAGAAAATAAAACAAGGTCAGAATTTCACTCAACAATACATTAAAGCAGTTTCAGACAAACTCTGGAGGATGTGTGTAGAACTGCAATCCGACTGTTGCCTTTCACACATTGCAGTGTGAGACTCTGTGCTCAGACCGGAGATACTCAGCAGAAAGTACAGAGGCTATTTGGAGGGGAAAAGAAACATGAGTGTGTTTCAAGGCTTTCGGCTATTTTGCATAAGCAGCCCACACTACTTTGATGGGATCCCAGGCCACTGGACAGTATGTTCAAAGAAAGAACATTTTGGAATCATGATTTTCAAGCGAAATGTTAATTAAATCTATTGCTAAACTACATTTGAATGTTGAGATGGTAATAAACCTCTAAGACGCAGTGGCTAATCTGCATTGCAGCTCAATGTCTTTGATGCAGCAATTGTATCTTTGCTTGTGACTTTGCTATAACCTCTTCAAGTCCAAGAGGACTCAAGTGCTCACCTCGACGTCCTCACACCCCTGTCTTCTTTTGGTCGTCCCCAGCTTGCTACATGGGGGATTATTATTACCAGATTCAGGGGGTTCTCCTCTTCTTCTTCTTTAATTTCTTTTACATTTGGTAGCGTAGCCTAAACACACACTGACCAAAATCGTGGTGTAGACAGAGAAGTCAGGTCTTGCTGTATTCTGACAAAAGTTACAGCATTATCCAGATCATAAAAGTGGATTTTACAGCATGGAGCTTGGGTTTCAAAAAAGGCTAAGCATTTAATTATAAAGCCAATTTTCACTTACAGTCTAGAAAATGAGGCCATAATGTTCGCTTTTCATGTGTAGCTGTATTCTTTGTCTGAAAATGACTTTGGCTATCACAATTACACATTTTTCCAATATGGTATGGTGTTATCATCTGGCTAAGTGTTGAGTGGTCATTAGCACTCACGCATGGAAGCCAGGAGACCAACTTTTCTCTACCTTGTACTGAAAACTTAGATTTGGTCTTGTTTTACTGCATTTCATTGTTTAACTGTGAATCATGGCTTAGGCTTGTCATGTCCATTTTATAGAGGAGATTTCAAGCTTTCGAATTATGTATTACATATGCAAACTGAGCTTTACTGGCACAGGCTATACCTGTGCGTAACAGACTCACAACTCACCATCACCTATGTGCAATTACACACAACTCACTATGACTAAGAAGTACATACGTCTTTAGATATACTGTAACACCTAACAATACATGTTATTTCAATTGTAGTTATCTGAGACTACTATTACAATAGGCAGACATCTAAATATAAACTTGTATTACAGCCTAAGATTATGTTTACAACCATTTGATTTTTCTCAATTTCAATGATGATGATGATGAATGGGGGCCACTACAGTCCTCTCTAGCTGCCACCCAGCTCAGAAAGAAAAGGAGGTCATGTGGGTTTCTATTTAGCATCAGGTCATGGTACCATTACTGTGATCTTCTAGATTTGTCCCATGGAGTTTTCATATTTGCTTAAAAAGGTTCAAATTGATGATAACTTTTCATTTATTTATTTTCAGAAGTTTATGCCAGTGTGACAAATATATTTCTTACTGTCTCAATTTCTTATTTCTACTTTTCATAATACATCCGCTTCACTTGGAGTCAAAGATGTATTTTGATGGTAGTATATGGTTTGTGTAATATACAAGCATTTTTTCTCCAACTGATTAAATTAACCACCAAACAAAAAAAGTGCCCACTTGGAGCTCTGTCTAGATGTTTTCATGAAAAAAAAGGTACTTTGTGCCATGTTCTTTGAGACAGGTGTTCGTTGTGGCTACTCACACCTGGCAGTTATCTTTTAGGTTGAGATATTCATAAATGACAATAAACAAATCAAATACGACTCAAAAAGGAATGTGACAGGATTTGGATTGTAATACTATCAAAGCCTTAAGCTCTAAGCACAACCGCTGATTAATAGGATGAAGGGACAGTAAAACAAAGAAACGTCCTGTGATATTGTTTGTGGTTATTTCTCTGACTGTGTTCACTCAGTTTAGTTGGCTCGCTCAGTGGAAACATTTCCGAACTCTTTTTCTATGGCACCTTGATTTGAATCAGAAATTACATTGAGAGGCTCCTTCAGACAAGTAGAAGTAGCGCGGTGCTAATCTTAGCATGGTGGCGTCTGTACAGTGATTATCAATGAGGCTCGGGGTCGGTATGGCAGCCTGCCTGGCCACATACCACACAGACGTGTGTGTGCAGCAGAGTCTGGACAGACAGCACAGGTGTTTACTCCTCACGTACCATCACACAACCTTGATCCACGGTAGGTTTGATTCAAACCCAACGTCCGGTTCATGCTCTGCTGAACATGGGGCCATGTTAGACACTGCTGACAGTCTCACCAGGATGACTGCTATCACGGGGCAGATAGATTCATTGAGCGAAATGCTTTAGAGTCCCTTGCGGAGACTATGGTCCCAACAAACCGGCTGAGCAGAAATATGAGCCGGTCAGAGGGGCCACACTGAACTCCAGATGCCAAATGGTCTGTATTTAAAACTGCGCTTAGTCTTGGCGGGCACTCAAAGCGAAGGCCCACATCTTTGGTACAATTCAATTCGACTTCTGAATGTTTCCGTTACACAAGAGCAGAACTGAAGTGTGTTGTACTTACAATGAATGTTGCGTCGGTCGAAGAAAAGCCTTTCAGCTGTTGTTAGCTTTAGCAGCTGAATAGTCAGCCCGGGAGGCCGTGTGGCTTCTCTTGATCGTGTCTGTTTGAACACTCTGCGATGTGTTCGCTTCCTGATTGAGCAGACGTTGGTAAAAGAATTCTAAATCGCTGGAGACAGACTTAACCGACGCGTGCCCCTAAAATGGTGCTGACCGTCCGCCCTGGAGATCCCGAGGAAGAAAATGGAGAGGCTTTTATGACTCCAGTGTCCGTGACGTAGCTTCCTGTCTGGCTGCTTGTAATGCTTTAGAAAATGGCTGCGGCGACTGTTGTGGACGCTTCTTCTGGTAAAGATGTGGTCGCCGAGGGGCTGCTCGACCTCCTTAAGCCCGCAATTCAGCAGCTCGACCTACATGTACACTCAGTCAGGTAAATACTCAAGGGATAATATGTTGTTCTCTTCTGCACAACTCTTCACCTCCGAGCTAGCTAACTCCCTGGAGTGACTGTCTCGTGACTGGTGCTGGTTTACTTCTTCAGCTGACATGGAGCTGATGTTGCTCATCAGACACATCACTTACTGTTGAGACACAATGTTCCATATGTGGCCAACTGCTGTTGTGTGTGTTACTGATGCAACCAGATAAAGTACTTCTGATTCTGAAACCTGCACAGATATTTGGGGGGTACAGGCTCAAGTGGGAAAAAGGGCACTTCTCATAATTATTTATTTTATTTTAATACCAGCACACAATTGTTTAATACTCAACAGTTCACACAGAGACAAGGATCTTCTTTAGTATCACTAGGTTTATCACAAGAGCAGGAAACAATAAAGGGAACTATGCCACAATGTGCAGGTTTTCTATGCTACTAGTTATGTAGTTTATATTTAGAATAACACACACACACACACACACACACACACACACACACACACACACACACTCACTCACTCCCTCTCTCAATAACTGGTGACAAGGACTTCATTTCAGTGTACCTACAATTCCCACCTTTCACATTTGATGGAGGGCTGTCTGTATCATGTATTTTGATAAAATCTGTCAACAACATACAACAAACTAGCAGAATGACCAGTTATTAGATGAGGAGCCTACAATCAAAATGATGCAGTTACTGTTTAAGGCATGACACTCTAGGCAAGTTTTTTCTTTTACTGGTCAATTTTGAGATTTTGGTTTATTTTGCTTCCATGTCTTCTTTCACTCTAATGGAAAGAAAACTTCCAGAAATACACATTCAGATGGTGTTTGTTCTACTTCCCTCTGTCTGTTTGCATCTGTAAGATCACAGAACAAGCTAATCTGCATATTTAGACAGAACATTTCCTGATGTTAGTCATTAACTGGGGAAGTTCTGTGGTGATATGTTTTTTTTTTTCGCGCAACATGGCACATTTTAAATAGTTAATGCATCATTTGCATATCAGGTTGGCGATTGTGATGACATTATAAGATACAAATTTGACAGTATTCACCTGTAGTGTCTCCCCTTCAGTACTGAAGCAGCAGTGGTTATAATTATTCAGCGGAGTCCATGTCTGCGTCGCAATGCATCTAAGAATGGAGAAATGGCCACAGCTCCAGTGCTCACCACTGTGCAGGAGACATGGAGGGAGGGAGGGTAGAGAGTCTGATGTTAGTGATGCAACATAATGTTACTGATGTTACTTGTGTTACTGATGCACATCAATTACATTAGTTTATGTCATAACATAATGTTACAGGTGCACACCAGTTAATGTAGTTACTGATGTGGATCAGTAACTCAAGTAACAGCTGTTACTTTTCAACTGCTAAGTATGGTGTGCCACAGGGATCAGTCTTGGGGCCTATTTTATTTTATTGTACATGCCTCCCCTTGGGAACATAATTCACAGGCACGGTGTCTCATTTCATTTTTATGCTGATGATAGGGAGTTGTACTTTCCTGTTAGACACACAGACCCGGGTATGCTGAGTTCACTCACTAACTGCCTCTAGTATATAAAAAACTGGATGTCTCTGAATTTTCTTTAGCTGAAATCAAACATAACAGAGATTCTTGTCATTGGGTCCCAGCACGTGGCAAAACAAATACTGCCATCTGCTGGTTCCCTATTTGACAACATGAAGCCTGTGGCAAAGAATCTGGGGGTCTGGATTGATGAAAAACTACCTTTTGAGCAGCGCACCACCAAGCTTGAGCAATCCTGATTTTATCAGATAAAAATATTTCTATACAATCCATGCTAAGTTGTAAAGACACAGAGACCATTTTACATTCTTTTATCTCATCATGTTTGGATTATTGTAACAGCCTTTTTACCTGCCTGAGCCAAAAATGTATTGATAAACTCCAGACTGTCCGGGACTCAGCTGCCAGGCTTTAAACCAGAACTAAGAAACATGATCTCATCACTCCTGTTTTAGCGTCTTTACACTGGCTCCCTGTATGTTTTTGAATTGATGTTAAGGTTTTACTGATCACTTTTGAGGTCCTTCATGGCCTCACTCCCTGCTACATTGCTGACCTTTTAGAATCATACACACCAGTAGGTACATTGAGATCCTCGGCCAGAGGTCTCATGTCTGTTCCAGAGACCTTGCTAAAAACTAAGGGGGACAGAGTATTTGCAGACCGGGCCCCGGGGCTCTGGAACAACCTGCTTTAGGAGATTAGGTCAGCTCACTCAGTGAACTCTTAAGTCTCTTTTTAAAACATACTTTTATTGGAGAGCCTTTCCTGATTTTACCTGAGTCTTAACTTTCTTTATATCTTACTTTTCATTTATTTTATTGAGCATTTTACACAGCACTGGTATCTACAATATACACTAATTTATTTTACCTGCTTTCTTCTAAACCTGATGTTTTATAACCTTTCAGTTTTTAACTTGCTGCATTTGTAAAGCACTTTGTAACATATGTTTTGAAAAGTGCTCTATACATAAAGATTATTATTATTATTATACTGACATTGTTGATGTTAGTGTTGCATGTCAGTTCCATCACTGTTGTAACATTTACATGTTTATTTGTGATGTAAGTGTTTGTTGTTAATGATTCTATGGATACTGCCTGTTTTTAAATTAACCTGCACTGCTCTATCATCTGTTTCCCCTTAGACTAATTTTTAAATTTTGTCCTTTGCAGAGAAAGCCAAGTAGAATTAAGAGAACATATAGACAACCTGGCCACAGGTAATTTACTGTAAAATGTCCAATGATTTCCTGATTTTTTTTCTCATTTGTCTTTATTTATATTTATAACATTAAGCTTTTACAATATATATTTCAATCGTATGCCAGTGAATATTACAACATATGCTTTGCTAATCAGTGGATTGCTGTTGTGTGTCTTGTAATCTACTCTCTTTTCAGAGTTATGCAGGATAAATGAACATCAGAAGGTGGCACTTGACCTGGATCCTTATGTAAAGAAGCTGCTGAATGCAAGACGTAGAGTAGTACTAGTAAACAACATATTGCAGAATGCTCAGGTCAGTGTGGTGTTTCTTTTTTTGCACTATCAATATTTTAATAATGCATATGTTTAATATTAAAGGCGTCGTTTAAACCGACTTACCAACAAAGAACTCTCCAGCTCCTCTGGTTAGATAGTACAGACAGATGCAGTTTGAGACCAGCTGGTGAACATAGAGAAAAATGTAGCAGCTAAAGAGCCAGATATGTATTGAGAATTTGAACAGTTCTTAATATCACTCAGTTAGGACCCATAGTAGGCAAATTAAACTATAAACCACACCCATGTCCTCTGGTTTGAAGTGGCTAAACTTCTTCTCAGCCACTTCAAACCACCCAAGGCTACACAGTCTGAAGCCCACAGCATGGTGCTGTGGGCACAAGTGACCTTCTATGTAAAGTGCCTTGAGATAATTTATATTATGATCTGGCGCTATACAAATAAAATTGAATTGAATTGAAAGTAGTAGAGAATAATGTAATAGGCTCCCAAATTGGATACGTTCCTCCCGCTAGCTGTGCTTTGCCATCTTGTCAATGATGATCACAAAAAGGATTGGTGACCAGGGTGAACCCTGGTGTCGGACAATAGCCACTGGAAACTTCCTTCCGAGAATACAAACTTAGGTTGCTCATTGATTGGATAGCTGGTAACTATGGCTGTGGAACCCCATATTCTGACATACTCCCCCAAGGGATCCAGTCATAGGTCTTCTCTAAGTCCACAAAATACATGTAGAGTTTTTGTGATGTGATCTCAAGTAGACAGCTCTAAGTACAGGTGTGAATGCACTCAGATCAGATCGCGATCCGATCAGGCCAGACCCCAGTACAATATATTAATTGCAACATAACTTTTAATATTCTGTCCCCAGGAACGACTGAGGCGCCTCAACCACAATGTGGCCAAAGAGACAGCACGAAGAAAGACCATGCTTGAGGCTTCAGGGGTGTTCACATCCCGCTCCCCCAGTAAACCCTGACCCTTCTCCCTCTTTGCACAGGAAATACTGTGTCTTGATCAGGAGGGACATGTCAGTACAGGAAACTGTAACATGAGGAGGACAAGTCTTATTTTGATATTTATTTAACTGTTTTTCTAATCACATCCTGATGTTCTGCGTTGGTTTGTCTGATGTCATCACAATAAAATCCAGGCTACTATCTGCTTAATATTAGGCAAAGAGATTATTGTCTTAACCTCTGGCAAAATGCCTGAATCAGTTTTACAGTATCTCCAATTCATACATTTTATATTGCAAACATGTTACCATTAAATTAAACAAACGTGACCATCCACATTTATTTTAGTTTCTGTCTTAAAGTGTACAGGTATCACTGAACTCTCCCTCTATGTTTTCCAAATTATGTTTATATGGGCCTCTGGGTTCTCTATGAAGTTCTGCTGACTTAAATGTGTTGTAGCAAATCACACAACTTAAAGCATAATGTTATAAAATAGTTTTTATAGTAAATGATTAAAATTAAACTTGCTTTGTAGGCTGTCTCCATGATTATGCAATATAGCACCTGTGACCATTTTTTAGCATGCATTGTGTCATTAAGAATGTTGAAAAGTATACAATTATGTCCATTATTGTGAATCAAACTCATTTTGTGTTTTTTCAAGTTCAAATAAGTAATATCTTATTTCAATGAAGAGCTGTGGACAGCATACTGATGCACTCAGCTCCTCCTTGTCCTAACCCTGTCACTCACTTACACACACACACACCAACACACAAATATATTGACAGCTAATCTGTCTGTCATAGACTGAATAAAATAACATAATTTGATCTTTGCAAACAGAAATGATGCACATGTTTATTTGCATTTTGAGCAGGGAAGTGAGAACCAATCATAAGTGGTAACAGGTGACATTTGGAGAAACATTCTAATACCAGGTGTGAACTGACTTAACTTGGCTGTCTAACTGTGAGACACATGTTATATGAACAGAGCCCTTGATTTCCGTCAGAATTCCTGAGAGTGCTGATGCTTTGACTTATTCTTTCAGTGCAGCTCAAACCAGCATGAGGAGAAATATAAACAGCCATTGTTCATCATTATAAGAGGAGGATGTTTTACTAGGCTGTTGTACAGGGCTCTTTTTGGTTGTAAACATTTGATTCTCTTTTTTTTGGGGTCATTTTCTGATTGACTCTAATTGCCAAAGTTGATGCATCTTAATTGTTAAAATAAAAGTTTTATTTCAAAGCAAGTATGCTGAAGTTTGACAAACGTCTATAGTACAATGGGTTTTTTTTTTCTTTGTCCAAGACTAAACAAAAATGTCAAACATGAATTTTAGTCAGAACAAAAAGTTAAGCAAGCTTCATATGTCTAAAATTAGCATGGACGTTTTGTCTTAGAATGAGGACCAAAAGTAAAAATAACACAAGAGTCATTGTTGTGTGTGTGTTATGCATATTTAATATTCAACATGTCCTGGTAAATAGCACTACCTAGTGGTTGATTGGCACCAAATTTTGCACAGAGCCACATCGAGGAACTGTGAGTTTTGCTGATATGCAACACTTTTGACGCAATTTGGATTTCTGTGATACATCAACATATACCTTTCTGTGATTCTGAAGACGTTTTCTAACCACATCAGGAGACCAAATGGAGATATCATACTCAGAAGAGACATGGTACAACTTTTAGTGTTCTTTGTGCCAAAAAAGAACACTTGTATTAGGCTTTGAAATCACCTCACTTGCATGACAAGCTCAATATTACCAAATCCTAAAAAGCATTATAAAACATGAATAAGAAAATGAATAAGAAAAGGTGTATTATTCATAGAAATTTCATTAATCCATATTAACATGTAAAACATGTTTTTTTTAAAGAACTCTAGCCTAAATAAAGAAACTAATTTAAAACATTATGTTAAATATGTATCCAAATACTAATTCAAATTAAATCAACAAAAATCAAAAACAACGTGTGTGTGTTTATGTGTTTATTTGTATTTAAACTGGGAGAGTGCGGTCTGATCACATGTGGTCACTGGAGACACATTTGGAAACAACTACTAATGCCAGGTGTGAGCTGATGTAGGTATGTTGGGATCACCAGAGACTGAGGTTAATACTGGGTCTGAGGAGAGACAGACTAACAACTGACTCTGAGTCAGACTCAACTCACTGTCTGGAATAAAAACCCGGAGTTTTCTCAAACTCATCGTCAACAAGCTCAGAGTTATTACTAAATTTACTTTCTGAAACTAGTCCCCAAAAGAGTGCTGCTTATACGCTTGCAACTCGTGCGTGCGTGTGTGTGTGTGTGTGTGTGTGTGTGTGTGTGTGTGTGTGTGTGTGTGTGTGTGTGTGTGTGTTTTGGGGCGGGTGGGGGGGCGCACTAATCTCAGCGGCGCCACCTTAAAGAAACAGTCTCGCGGGCCTGTCAATCTCACCGAGCCAGACAGACCCTGGTTCGCGGCCCTGCTGTGAGAGGCGCTTCGTGATTGGCTGGCAGCGGGAGCCCCTGTGAAACCCGACTGTCCATTGGCTGCAGCATGTCGAGACGCTGGCGAGCACGACGTCTCCCCTCTATTGTTATTGTGGCGTGCGCGTGAGGAACGGGCAGGATGCGCGAGGACACGGCGGGGCCGTTATGATAAAACCGCAGCGGAACACCGAGCTCGCGAAGTGCAAACATATGAGAAATAAACAGTAGCGGGTTATATATCCGAGGAAGTATCTGAGAGCCGTCTGCCGTGTGAACACGGAGCCACACAGGGCTCATACAAAGGAGTGTAAACACACACGGCAGCTGCGGTCAGCACAGACAGGACGGAGGGAGCTGTCGGACACTCCGAGGTCTGTCTGTCTCACTTCTCCTCCCCTCTCCGGCTCATGTGTAAGTACAAGCTCTTTATCTCCGTCCCGTCGTTCTCCCGCTCTCCCCACTATCATGACGAGACCAAACAACCGAGGCACCGAGAACCCGGGGGGAAGTCAGTCCCTCTAGCTTTGCTAAATTGTTGCATGTATCCGCAACAAATGCTCTCGTCTGTCTCACTCTTTCACCGTCGCGGTCCATGCGTTGTTCTCACTTCCTGGCGTTAGTTGGACTGGAACGAGTCCGATGAATGAGTCGTGGAGACGTGTTAATGTGTTTTATGAGCTGGTACTTGCAGAGACAGCGAACTGCGTGACGCATGTTAACCGATGTGGGATGTCAGGGGGGTGAGTGTGCTGGCCTGGAAAGTGCTCAGGTTGTGTCAGGCAGACATGGAACAGACAGCGTGCCACCGTTTTCCTGTCTCATCGCACTGATGGAAGTTTTAATCTCAAGTGTGAGAGGTCTAGGCCTGTGTTATGCACAGTAGGCTAAAGAGGAGACGTGGGTAGGAAGAGTAATCGAGTAATCCTATTCTATGCTAGATAGAGCCTTCAAAAAGGATTCAACAGTATTTTTTCCAATATATCCTAGAGGCAGAAGATATTCAGCAAATACTCATAAGTGACAATGTTGAATGTGTTTTTGACATTTGTGATTAAAACCAAAGACTCCAGCCTCTTAAAGTTTTCTCAATAAAGAGCATCATTTCAAATGCAAATCCAAAGTATACACACCATGGAGAGAGGCGCTGCATATAGATGTACGACAGGATGAAATAGACAGGGTGTTAAATGTTATTTGCATTTTAAGATATAATAACAATATTTCAGCACTGTAATGCATATAATAAGGTCAATATATATAATATGGTAAAAAAGGAGAGGCCCTTCAGTATAAGAAACTCCACTACTGTCGATGCTTGGAGTAGACTGTTATAGTAGACTGTAATAATGCTGAAACACATTTGCAGCATATGTGTTGTGGACCTTCACAAAGTCTGGGTTATATCTTTAGAGTTGGATTTTGAGCCTGAAGGCAACTCATTTATTTCAGATGCCTGATGAATAAAGCTGTGGTTTTCAGGACCAGACCTACAAAATAACAGTGCCAGAGACTCTGCAGCCCCCACTATCCTCAGAAGCATACAGAGGATAATGATTTGAGCTTGTTCCTGAAAAAAAGATCCTATGTGCTCATGTCGTATTCGTAGACTTCATATAAAGTTGGACGACACTTCCTTTCCCTATCCAGAAATGAAGCCAAAAAGGCCTGGATGCAAAACGTTGCCATCTTGCACATTTGGAGTGCAGAGGTAGCAAATTTTATTTGACCAATCGTGGGTCAGTCTCAGCTATGACATTTCACACTGTTTTTATAGCAATAACTAATTTCAACCAAACATGAGCAATTGAGCATACATCAGTGTTATAAGAACTAACTAAAATGACATAAACCATCTTTCAGAAAAATTTATATGATGTGTACATGGTTGATGTCCTACGCACAAGGGACATAAAAGAGGCAGGATTTATGAACTATACTGCAGCCGGCCATCAGATGGCGACCAAGGCTGTGGCTCAGGAGTACAGCAGGTTGTCCGAAAGTCAGAGGGTGGGCAGTTTGATCCCAGCCTTCCCCATTCTGTGTGCCAAAGTGTCCTTGGGCAAAATACTGAGCCCCTGACAACTGTGCTTGCATGATGAGTGATAAATGACAGAGGAAGCGCTGCATATAGAGTGTGCAATCATGTTGTCCAACTTTATATACAGTCTGGCTGTAATGTGTCCTGTGGCCCCTTAAATTGACATACTGTAAAAGATATTGTCACTGACTTGTCGTATTCAACGTATATGTCAAGTGGGGACCAAGACAGAATGCTTTGTTATTTGCATGGTTGTATTTTAAATTTTAAGTTAAAGGTTCAGTGTTTCGGATTTAGTGACATCTAGTTGTGAAGATGCATGTTGCAACTGAATACTCCTCATCTCACCCTCTCCTTCCAAACAAGAAAACAAACCTGTGGTAGCTTCAATTGTCATAAAAACTCAGGGTTTAGTTTGTCCAGTCTGGACTACTGTAAAAAAAACATGGCAGCCTCCGTAGAGAGGACCCCCTCAATGTAAATATAAAGTATTTAAATAAAAAGGGCCTTTTCTGAGGTAAAGAAAACTATAATTCATACAATTTAGATGAAATGAACCTGTGAAAACATAATGAGGATTATTCTACATTAAATTTCTGCCAATAGATCCCTTTCACCTAAATCGTACACACTGGACCTTTAACTGTTTGTCGGATTTATAGCTACAACTATATTTCTAATTGCTACACAGATTTAGACTATGTTGTTTTGAATCTGTCTCTTACAGCTATATTATACGCAATTACTGGAGTGAAGGTTTTGAATGATGTTGGTAAAGGATCTAAACACTTGTACTACCCTCACTGCTCCGACAGCTGTAAAATTTGTGCAGCACACCTAACTAGCATCCACTAGTTCCTAATCTACCTGCTCTACCAACAGGGACTGATTCAGAGCTGGGCCATCACGATGCCAATGAAGTTTCTGGTCACTCATTGGCTGACCAACTTAATACCAGGTAAGCAAGAAAGTATTTTGGCTCAAGTTACCAGAGCTACTCCCACTAAAATACAACCATATCAGTCTACAAAATCAGGAGGAGAGTCTCCACGTGCTCCAGGTGACACTGGTTGATGTTCCACATTTGTCTTGTGTCCACGTCCAAATTATTTTCATTTCATTCACAGACTTTTCTGATGATTCACAACTGCATTCTATTTTTTTGCATTTGGCATCACTGCCTGCCAACAGCTGCTTCCTTCCAATCATGCTGTGTGCTGTTGATGTTTGTCTTCGACTACTTTTTTCTTCTTCTGTTAGGTTTTCAGTTGTACATGATATTTCTGGATTTCAAAGTAAAAGATTGGATTTTAAAATTAAGGATGGAAAGTAAAAAGTAAAACAGCATAGTATACTGTACACTTAACATAAAAAAATAAATTAAATGATAGGAAACACAAATGACAAAGATATGCAAATGGCGGGAGAATACTTTCAAATGACCAAAACTGTAAGCAAAATGGCAAATGTGCCAATATATTGTGATGACAGCAAGGATTTGGCCTGAATTGATGATGGAATGGTAGCTGTCATGGCTCCACAACCAACCAGGTTTAAACTTTATGTGGACATGGTTTGGCTTGCAGTTGTGAACATACTTCTGTAGTAACTATATTATAACAAGATAATTATTATATATCTAATATTGGTGTGGACTTCTAGGGTCTCTTCAGACAGCCAATATTACTGGACTGTGTGTCAGTCAAACTGATATGCATAAGTTATATTATGTTGCCACATAGATACAGGGATTCATGGACATGCTGTGAATGGCACTGGATCAGGTCTTATTTTCCATGTTGTAGTGTAAGCTCATGTGAGTTTTCATTTTCATCTTGGCATAGGCACAGAATGTGACTTTTAAAATTTAATGGGTCAGGGATAAGGTTGACACAGTACCAAAATGTTAGACTTGATATGATACAGGTTTTAAAAAATGATACTCGACACTGCTTTCGATACCCCAATAGAAAGAAAAAAGGTTCTGGATGTTGAGCAATATATATATATATAAAATATTTCTTTTAAGTAAAATAATTGATTTTTTTAATCAACGAAAGGAATTGATTAACAACAGTGGCCAGTCTGTAAAAAGAAAGAGACAATTGATAATAAACAAATCAAATCAAATCAAATTTTATTTGTATAGCCCAAATTCACAAAACACATTTTGCCTCAGAGGGCTTTACAATCTGTACAGGTAGTGACACCCTCTGTCCTTAGACCCTCGGTTCGAGTGAGGAAAAACTTGTGCACAAAAAACCCTTTTAACAGGGAAAAGAAGTTGGAAGAAACCTCAGGGAGAGCCACAGAGGAGGGATCCCTCTCCCAGGATGGACAGACATGCAATGGATGTCACGTGTACAGAACAACGCAACAGAAACATATTGTACTATTACAATGAAAAACAATGATTACAGTAGCAGTTGTGGTAATATGTAACAATGCTACAATAATACACAAGTTAATATTAATGTCATGAAATTATGACTAATAGTAATAACAAGAGTGGATGTCAGGCAGGGCCGTGGTATTAGTGGCAACCACAATCCAATACAGGGAGCAGCCATGATCCATGAGAACCTGCTGGACGAGAGAGCACAGAAACTCCAGGGAAGAAGTTTAGTTAGTAAAATGCATTAATGAGACATGTATGTTTAGAGATGGGGATGATAATAGAGAGAGAGGAAGTGGGGGGGGGGGGGGGTCCCCCGGCAGTCTTATCCTATAGCAGCATAACTAAGGGCTGACCTGAGCCAGCCCTAACTATAAGCTCTATCAAAGAGGAAAGTCTTAAGTCTACTCTTAAAAGTGTTGACCGTGTCTGCCTCCCGAACCCAAAATGGTAGTTTGTTCCACAGAAGAGGAGCTTGATAACTGAAAGCTCTGGCTCCCAATCTACTTTCGGAGACTGTGGGAACCACAAGGAACCCAGCATTCTGAGAGCGTAGTGTTCTGGAGGGGTAGTATCTCTTTGAGATATGATGGTGCTTGCCCATGAAGAGCTTTGTATGTAAGGAGGATAATTTTAAATTCTATTCTGGATTTAACCGGTAGCCAATGTAAAGAAGCCAAAATGGGAGAGATGTGATCTCTGATCTTGGTTCCTGTTAGAACACGTGCAGCAGCATTCTGAATTAGCTGCAAAGTCCTAAGAGACTTATTGGAGCAACCTGATAACAAAGAGTTGCAATAGTCCAGCCTTGAAGTAACAAATGCGTGGACTAGTTTTTCTGCGTCTGCTGGAGATACCTTGTACCATTGTACCTTGTACCAAAAATACTTAGTCCATGATCAGCATTTCCAGCTGATCATGGACTATGATTACAACTGACAAAGACTGCTTGATAAACAATATGTCTCCTTAGATACTCGACCATTACTGACAATGATTCCTCAATTCATTTACCTTCCATCATGCTACAAACTACTTACTCTAACCAATGCTGTAATTACTCTACTATTTCTCTGACGTTCTCCATTACACGTGGCATCTATTGCACTTCTGTCTGTCCTAGGAGAGGCATCCCTCACATGTGGCTCTCTCTGAGGTTTCTACGTTTTTTTTCCCTGTTAAAAGGGTTTTTGTTAGTTTTTCCTTCCTCTAGTTGAGGGTTAAGAGCAGAGGATGTCACAGCTTGTTAAAGCCCTATGAGACAAATTGTGATTTGTGAATATGGGCTATACAAATAAAATTTGATTGATTGATTTAAGTGACATTGTCTTCATAATTGAGTGCTTTTAATTCTAAATCTTGTATTTACATTTACTCATAGAAAACATTTATATTTTTTCAAACTTTTACTCCCTCCCCCCAAGTATGTGATGCAGTCTTGCAGCTTTGTTGCAGGAAGTGAAGTGAGTGTCTGTGTGAGAGAAATTCTAGCATGTTGCTGCAGTCACAGAAGTTCATAAAAAAGAGATGGTACTGAGCCAATATGTCGTGCTTTGGGGTAAAAAGGTCACGTCAATGTTAATGTTAATGATAATTGCTAGTCGTTCGCTCGGGAGAATTGTCCTGAGCTCATCTGCATTACATCACAGCATTATACATCACAGCATTATAATTCACTTGGCTTTCAAAGATGACACTTATTAAATCATATTAACACAACATGACCTCTCTAATTTCTTTGAAAAAGCTAAATTTGTGGTGTTTTTCCTCTGGTCCTTTTACATATTGACTTGTTGTAGTCTTTTACATTTCCTTGAGAATCTGCAACAATGTTTGATACTTTGGTCGTCACCATGGTCGGCATCTCTAGTTTGCTTCAGTACTTGATAGGTCGCTGACCGGCTGCTGACGTGCTGCTGCCTGCTTGTGCTTCAGCCTCCAGTCACGTGATGGGTTTGCCTCTTGGGGGATGATGCAACAGCCACAGGTTGAGGATCAGAAAATGTTCTTGTGTGGTTGTCTTTAATGCAGCCATATCAGAGACTGTGTTGTTTTAAACACATGGAAGTCAATTTATTGATTTGACTATCCTAATTCTGGGTGACTGTCTGAAAAGCACAAACCTGAGAATACCATTCTGCCATCTGCTTATAGACGCATATGTGGCACATTCTGCCCTAGTCACACATGCTGTATGTATCATAGACCCCGTTCAAACCAGGTACTTGTGTGATCCAATCACTCAGACCATATTTTCAGCTGTTCTGGTGTGCATGTGGCCATGTGTTTTTTGTTGTGGGAATAAATGCAAAATTAACATATTTAACATTTTAAAAAACAATCAGTAAAATCATTTTTCATTGCAAAGCCATGTGCATTGATTTACCAAACCATTCCTGGCCCAACTCTTTTCCTCTCTCTTTATCTCATTCTCACACTGACTCTCTTTCTCCCTTTAACATACACTCTCGCACGCATGCACGCACGCACACACACACAGACACACACACTCAAACTGACAATAGACTCATCTGTATAGGCAGACTGACTACATATCCAAGTCTTTGTGAACAGTAATTACATATTTGCATATAGACCTGATATTGTGATATTTTAATGCCAGGTGTGAATTGTTGTACCAGTCTGAACTGGGCCAAAACAGATACACCAGGATAACAGGTTTTGTGTCCTTTGATTGTTTGTAGGGTGTGTCTCTGTCCTTACTGTGCTTAGGAGCAGTGGTACTAACTAGAGGATTATTATGAATTCCACTGGATTTATTAGGGTTACAAACCCCTTACTCTTTGCCTTCTCTGGTAACTTTTTCTGTGTCAAACTTTCCATGCTCTTATTGTCTGTTCTGTTATGTTGAACACAGTTTTTTTGAGTTTGGACTAGCAGCTGAAGTATCTCCTCCACTTCCTTTATTTTTCCAGTGATTGAATCCAGCATCACATGTCCCTTTCTTAAATTTCCAATTTTCCAAACTGGTGACAACTATTTTTGTCCTCTCTCTCTGAGACAGAAAAAACCTAGTGAAATATATTTAAATAGATGTATTGCTGTTATTTATTGTTGCTGTGCATATCTATGCATATGTTCATTAAGTGTATTGAGGGTTCCTCTTGTGTCTTGTGGCAGCAGCATCATGTCAGTGAACCCTCCAAGCAGCAATGACGCTTGTCTCAGCATCGTCCACAGCCTCATGTGCCATCGACAGGGTGGGGAGAATGAGGGCTTCGCCAAACGTGCCATCGAAAGCTTGGTGAAGAAGCTAAAGGAGAAGAAGGATGAGCTGGACTCGCTCATCACTGCCATTACCACCAATGGTGTCCATCCAAGCAAGTGCGTCACCATCCAGAGGACACTGGATGGACGACTGCAGGTCAGTCCTCCTCTCATAAGCAGGCTTATTATGTTATGCATTTTTGCTTTATGTTCTATATTTTGAGTCAAGACATAGTTATTAAAAACTACTGTCTTTTTAATATCTTTTTAAGACTAACCTCATTACCATTTTGTGGGGTTCAAATATTCAGCTCGTATATTTGAACTTCAGAGCCTGTTCATTTGATTTCATAATACATCCAGCAGATGGCAACATTCCATCAATCATATACAGCATGTAGGTTATGGTGAAGGTGCAATTCAACTATATGTGTTTACAAATTTGAGCCAACCCAAACCCAATTATACAGTGTAACATCTACTCCCTTCCCTTAACCCTTCTCATCCCCATCTCCCTGCACTTTGGACTGGTCATGGGTGTGCATTCACAAACCCGTTTTGGTGAAAGCTGGAACATTTGCTTGTAATATAATATATGGAATATAATATAATATAATGTTCAAAGCGCTGACCATGCCCTTACAGTTTACATTTTCATCCCTTTAGACGAAAGGGATCTATTGGCACAAATATAAAATAATGCTCACGATGTTTTCACTAGTGTGTTTCATCAAAATTTTAAAAATCTTTACCCTAGAATGGGCTCTGTATATTTAAATACTTTAGATTTACATCAAGGGGGTCCTCTCTATGGAGGCTGCCATGTTTTTAACAGCAGACTGGACTAACTAAACACCTTTTGAGTTTTTATGACAACTGAAGTCTACCACAGGTTTTCTTACGGGTTTGGAAGGGGAGGGTGAGGTGAGGGGTATTCAGCTGCAACATGCAATTTCACCACTAGATTTCACTTAAAGGAGAAGTTCGGTTTTTTTCAACCTGGACCTTATTTTCAGCATATGTTATGTAGATCTACTCACCCATAAAGGTTTGGAGTAACTTGGAGTCCTACTCTCCGTGTAAACAAACACAGCTGATCGTCAGCTGTGCTGCGCGCCTCGGTGACGTCACCCCAGTGAAAGCCCGGGATGTAAACAAAGCAACTTGGATTCACAGGGGACTAGTGCTGGCGATTCATAGTAAATAAAGAGTTTCGTGGCAGATAATGCGTTATTTAGAGGCTGTATTGTGGATGCCCCAATCACTTGCGTTGTATGGATATACGCCGATCACGTGTGGATCTAAAAGCGTCCGAAGGACTCCAAGTTACTCCAAACCTTTATGGGTGAGTAGATCTACATACCATATGCTGGAAATAAGGTCCAGGTTGAAAAAAAATTAACTTCTCCGTTAATTCTACACACTGTACCTTTAAGTCCAAAGCCAGGACATGAACTCCTGAGATTGTCAGCACAGTTGGGTTTCGGACTTCCTCTGGAGGTTGCCTTTCACATATACACAATGCAGCTGGAGATTATCAGGTCAGATGCATTCACAAAAACACAGAAATCTCCAGAGCATTTGGTCAAGCGGTAGCACATCATGTAGGAGGCAGATGTAAAGTATACATTCTGTTGCGGAGATCACGTTTTCTTATTTACTGTATTTTCTCCGGAGGCGGTGCATGTGTGAAAGCAAATGTCTGAGTGAGATGCTCCGTATTTTCTGCAGACTATCTGCCTAACCTCCTAGTGTAAAGTTAACACAACAGATGATTCCCCTATGGATTCGCAGTGTGCGAGTGGGTGATTCACATGTAGAAGACACCAACAAAGATGTCTAGAGAGTTTGTGGTAATAAGAGCTGATGATGGTGTTGGGGTGCTGTAAACAAAATCTCTTGCCTGAATAATGCAGAGTATTTTTTGCAGTTGTAAATGCGTCTGTGCATAGAACCTCCAGCTGTGTTGTGCATGTGTGAAAGGTAGACTCTGGGTATACTCTGTAGCCAATTCTCCAGATATTACCCAGAGGTCATGTCTGAAAATGGCTTAGGTAACTGTGCTGAATTGACAACTGGACTTGTAAAGACCTTTATGACAGCATCATAAACAGCTCAGAATCTATTGCCTCCTTAATCTTTTTTTCATTTCTCATGGTCCCTGAAACTACACCAACATTGTTTTAGTGCACAGCTGTTTTTGGTCTGAAGGACTGCTTAAATTTGTATAGCGCCAAATCATAATATACATTCTCTCAAGGCACATAGAAGGTCAAGACCTTAAAAATGAAACATGTATATACACTGTCCCCAAGTATATACACTGTACACAATCATTGGAATTATTCAGTAAGTGACTGTTAATGGGCACTCTACACACTGTGCAAATATTTTATCATCCATCATATCAAGAAAAAGCAAAATCCTGCACAGTTTGCGTAATATCACAAACAATTATATGGTCCGTCTGATGAAGTACATGTATTTAGGCTATGAAGTCTGTTTGTGCTCGCTGGTGCTTCCCCATCAGGCCATATCTTCCAGAACAGTCTCTCCCCATTACACATAAATAATGATGTGCAAAAAGTCATGGCACTTCACAAAAAATCTTTTATCTGTAACACAAGACACAGCACGACACACGGACACCGCTACTTCATTTAAAGGATAAACTGCATAACAGGGCAGCTGTAGCGTAGAAGGTTAGTCGTCCACTAACCAGAAAGTCAGTGGTTCCCCATCATGTCGAAGCTATGGCAGTCTGCGGAAACATAAATGTCGGTTGTATTCCAAGCATTCAGACAGACAGCTGGTAGACATCTGAGAGTTTACAGAATATCTTAAAAATTACAGTCCACTGATGGATGGATGAGTCAATAAAACTGTAATTCTAACACTGTAATGATGCTGTGCTCTCTCTTCAGGTGGCAGGGAGGAAAGGTTTTCCTCATGTGATTTATGCAAGGCTGTGGCGCTGGCCTGACCTCCACAAGAATGAACTCAAGCATGTCAAGTTCTGCCAGTATGCCTTTGACCTGAAGTATGACAATGTGTGTGTCAACCCCTACCATTACGAGAGGGTAGTGTCTCCAGGCATCGGTAGGTCAGATTCAAACTCTCAACAACTCAGAGTGGGGTTTACGATCTCTGTGCTAATTTGATCATTTATACAAAATAGCAAGTATAGTTTAACAAACTCTGATGCTTCATTTTTACATTTATGTAATCTTTGTTTTCTCTGTCTTCTCTAACAGTTGGTCTCAGCCTTCAAAACACAGGTGAGTTATACTCAACATCACATCATGACTTCATTCAGGTTTATTGTCATGTCAACACTCATGCATGTTATTGTTAAGTCAGTTTAAACACATGGACAGAGCCACTGCTTTCCACATGTGCCAACTGTCGGCCACATAGCCAACTACTAATTGAAGTCCAGCCAGTTACTTTATGAGGGTCAAACAGTTACTTGGGGCATTAACTACTAAGTGAGTTCAACATACCCAGGATATCTTTCCATTATCCTAACCTAACAAGCCCAGTCAGGCTAAGAGGTCGCATGATGTTGGTTGTCAGCCTGGTAAGTCAACCCAGGTTTTTTTGCATATGATCACAGACATGGACAAGCAATATATTTTCATAGACGAGGAACAACACAGTTACAGCTGCTTAATGCAGGACAAGGATAGCTGGCAAGAAATTGCAGATTGTGTGAATGTGTAAATTAATGTCATTAGGGCAAGAGTAGATCAGACTATAATTTTGTTTTCTGTCTTCATTACAGTAATCAAAATCAGAATCAGGGTTTATTGCCAAGTAGGTTTACACATACAAGGAATTTGCTTTGGTGTTTGTGCAAGTATATATTGTATATATATAAAAAAAAGAAAAACAGAAAACAAAGTCAAATCTAAAAATATTAGATTAGATTAGATTAGCACCGCTGCTTGAGTCGTCTAATCCTACTCTCCTTTGATGTGGTCATGGTCTGTAGTTTATATAGTATCTTCAAGACCTGATGAGCTCTCAAAAAGCTTTACAGTACATTACAGTTTTGCCATTCACACACACATTGATAAAGAGCATCTATCATACATCACAGACACACTGTCGGCACAGCCTTTAGGGGCAATTTAGTGTTCAGTATCTTGCTCAAAGACACTTCGACACACGGGGAATGGGGGGATTGAAACGCCAACACTTTTTTATGTACCTATGTCAAATGTCTTGTAATTTGAGTTGGTCTAGCCTATACATTGTTAGAATTACAAAATAATCCTTTTGAGGAGTTTGAGGAAAAGGTGGGGCAAGGATAATGTAAAACCTGCTTGACACAAACAAACAGAGAAAATATGAATAAAAAATGGGAAGACTTCAACCAGACTTAGCTATGAGTAACCAATAATCACTTTATCTTTTACTTCTATAATGTTGAATGTTAATTACTTGAGCAGCAAGAATGTTTGTTTCGAACTCTCATATCACAAAATTGCCTTTACAGTGCATGCAATATATTTTTGATATTTTATCCTTACTAGATTTTGTGCTGTATTCATTTAATGTCTGTGCATGCTTGTAAATGACCAAACTTTGACCTCCTGCAGCAGCACCAGGCGGCCTCATCAAAGAGGAATACATCCATGACTGTATACAGATAGACCTTCCACCTGGCATGCCTCTGTCTGACCATCAAACAGCCCTGAAGCTGCCTCCTCCAGACCACTATGGTCAACCCCTGCCTCCCCCACAGCTGTCGTCTGAGCCCCATGGACCCCCACCTGTCAGCAGATACACTAACCTGCCTGTTTCACCCAAAGGTCAGCTCCTCATCTACATCTTACATCTACCATGGAAGTTATGTTTTCATCTGCATTTGTTCGATACTTTACACAAAAACTTGGCATTTTCAAAAAAAAATTTGATTCCTGAAAGGGTAAATCATAGATCTTAATCAAAATAAATCAGGCATGTTTAAGGGACCAAGGGCCCTTGGTGGGAGCGTTTTGCGGGTGATTTACTAAAAATCATTGCACAAATGATAACAGGTGTAAACAGTGTAGAGGAAGTAGTATTTAAATTAGTGTTTTGTTACTGGTTTCCACCATGGAGCGTTATGTAGAGCAGAGTGACCTGAAGCTCAAAGCGATTTAATGCCATGGAATTGGAGGTGTTAGTGGAAGAGGCAGACAAACATGTTGAGCTACAGCAAAGAAATATTAATATACCTCAAAGAAACGCGATCTGGGAGAGTATCTGTGAGAGTATCTGTGAGAAAGTAGATGCTGTGGGTAAAACAAAAAATGATGAAATTAAGAGAAGATGGCAGCACATAAGAAAAAAGAAAAATAGCTCATATAAAACCTTGGCAAATAAAACAGGTGGGGGCCCGTGGAAGAGATGCCTCTGACCAATATTGTGCAGGAGGTGAGAGCTGTGTCTCCTCTGTGGCACGAGCGGTGAGGTGCGACACAAGGGCCATTGTAGCCCACATGGAGTGCACATGCAGCTGGTCAGCACTGTATGTGCAGTGGCAGAGCCAGAACACTTTCAGTGGGTTGGCCAGGATGAAACCTGTGATAATTGTGAGGTGGCATAAAAATCATTATTACATGAACATAAAAATGTGTTTGAGTAGAAATTATAGGGTTACGTATGTAAAGGCAAAGCTTACACTATACAAATGTGGTGCATTAATGTATATTATGATTTGGTACTATACAAATAAAATTGAATTGAATTAAATTGACGGCTGTGACATGTTGCCACGATGACCCCTGGCCACCCCCCATCTCCGCCACTGTGTATGTGGTGTGACGATGGACATCAGTGCCCTGGCAAGAGAGGGATTATTTTAGATTCTGTCAATCCAAACATGCTAACACAAGCAGAAAAAAAACATTCTCTCCGTCTTCTTCCATGACGTCTCCTCCTTACCACAATAACTGCAGCCATCTGTGTGTAACACTGTGCCAATTATCACTTACCTTTCAAACATACTAAATATAGACTCAGTCACAAGCACCCCAATTATTTTCAGGCTTTGTTAATCACATTGCATGGCTAAATTAAAGTATTTGCATCTACTCCTCCCCTTGAGTAGAAAGGCCTGATATTGCATATGGACAGTGCATATTATTCTGCACGCAATCCTCAGTTAGTAGATCCGCTTGTATGTTTTTTTGCAGGTGGAATCAAGTTTGCACTAATTTTTACACTTGCAAACCTTAAGTAGATCAGGCCCTAAATGTGTGCAATTTGGTGCAGCTTGATAGAATTTTGGGGAAAGTTGGGTTAATTGAATGGTTAAATTCTTGAGACTGACATACTGACAAAACCAAATACTGAGTTGTACAGTGCACTTCAAAGTCGTTTTCAGACATGTCCTTCAGAAAAACTCTCTTGACACACTCATCGGTGTCTTCTATGCGTGTGGCTCACTTTGTCATCCAGAGATATGTTTCTTTTTTAGTTTTTATGCCTCCGTGCCGGCGACAGTCAGTGGCTAGAGTCATTATGTTTTGGTTATGGTTATTCGTCCGTCCATCCCATTCTCTTGAATGCCATATCTCAAGAATGCCTAGAGGGAATTTCTTCAAATTCTACACAAATATTCACTTGGACTCAACTGATTAGATTTTGGTGGTCAAAGGTCAAGGTTACGGTGGCCTCAAAAAGCAATTTTTTTCCTTGTGACTGTAATATCTCTGGAAAGCCATCAAGGAATCCTTTCACATTTGGCACAAACATTAACTTGGATAGTATTAACTTGTATTAACTGATTGGATTTTGGTAGCCAAAGGTCAAGTCACTGTTGCCTCACTAAATATTTTCTGTTTTTCTTGAATGTGATCAGCTCAAGGAAATGTCTTCAAACATTCACTTAGACTCAAAGGTGAACTGATTAGATTTTGGCGGTTGAAGGTCAAAAGATTAGGTTATGTGACCTTACATTGTTTTTGATTTCAGGAACGCTCAAAGGGAATTTCATTACATGTGGCTCAAACATTCTGTTGGACTCAAGAATGACTTGAATAGAATTTGGTGGTCAAAGATCAAATGTCTAAATCAATGTAAATGGTTGTATTTATATAGTGCTTTTCTAGTCTTGAAGACCACTCAAAGTGCTTTACACTACAGTTTGCCATTCACCCATTCACACATGGAGTGCATCTAGAGTAGCACTTTTTTTTTTTTAATGTTGTTCTATGGGGCAATTTGGGGTTCAGCATCTTGCCCAAGGACACTTTGGAATGCAGATGGGAATTGAACTTCCGACCTTCTGGTTGGAGGACGACTGCTCTACCCCTCAGCCACAGCCATGTGACCTCGTAAAGCACCGTTTTTGCCTTGTGAATACGATATCTCCAGAACGCCTTCAGGAATCCTTTCACACCACGTATGTTTATCTCTTTCATGAACAAGATCAGCTGTACAGGAATTTCTTCAAATTTGGTACAAACAAGGAGTGGCTGTGGCTGAGGTGTAGTTTGATCCCCAGTCTTCCCCTGCTGATAATAGATGCACTTTATGAATGTGTGTGTGAATGGCAAACTGTACTGTAAAGCGCTTTGAGTGGTCATCAAGACTAGAAAAGTACTATATAAATACAAACCATTTACATTCACTTGGAATTAAAGATAAAGCGATTCGATTTTGGTGCCTGGAGGTCAATGGTCAAGGTCACAGTGACATCACATTTCTGTGAATGTGATATATCAGAATTGTCTTAAGGGAATTTCATTACATCTGGCACAATTCACTTTGCCTTGATTAGTATTTGATGGTCAAGGTCACTGTGACCTTGCAAACACTTGTTTTGCCTTGTGAACATCTCAACGGTATTCTTTCAAATATGGCACACATGTTCATTTTAATTAACTGATTAGATATCGGTGGTCAAAGATCATGTTTTTGGCCTTTTAAATGTGATATCTCAACACTGACTTGAGGAAATTTCTTTAACTTTCGATCAGTCACTTGGAGTCAAAGATGAAGTGATTACATTTCAGTGGTCAAAGGTAAAGGTCACAGTCGCCTTATATGAATCTGGAAAAATAATTACTTTCACACCTCCTTGGACGATCTCCGGAGTTCAGTCCATGTCATATAGTTGAAGTCTGGCCTGATGTGATCAACTGTTGTCTTTCCAGTCTCCTGCTCTGGTTCCATGCTGCCACTACAGGGCAGTCACAGTGATGGCCGTCTTCAAACTGCATCCCCACAGTCTCAAGTCATGACCCCAGTACCACGTCCTCCGACTCCAACCCAACCCCCACCTCAGCAGCAGGCTGCCCAGCAACCCTCACAGCCCCCCCATTCACAACAACCCTCCCTACCTACTTCTCACTCACATGGAAAAAACGGATACAGCAGCAATAAACACTCTCAGAGCCAGGCTGTCTTCCACAGTGAGTTCACAAATACGCACTCATACACAGATATATGTATTTGTGTGTATATATATAAATAGATACACGTGTGTGTGTGTGTGTTAAAAATCTTTGTAAATAATTGTACTGTACATTGTTTAACACTCATCATTCATTATTTTTGCTGTAATCCAGCAGTTTGGACAGGCAGCAGCACAGCCTCCTATACTCCTATAGGACCTCCGCAGAATGGGCGTAATCTCCAACAACCTCCCCTCCATCACCCAAACCATCACTGTAAGATATGCTTTGAAACCTGCACCTCTTTCAAACCAAAGAATTCCACATGACTTTCACTTTAATTCTGGGAAATTTCCTGACAATTATATTATGTTATGCTATCTACAGTGAAATTGATAGGAAATGTGTTGTTTTAAATATCGAAAAAGTATCGAAAAAATATAAAAGTAGTGATACTTTTTGTTAAGGAATTTTTTATATATCCTCACACATTACTGTAATATACATTATATACATAATACGGTATATAGTGGCATATACAGTAATGTGTGAGGATATACCAAAATTTCTCAACAGTTTTGACAACCCTACTGAAGACCTTATTTTACATATATTGCTGCTCTGGCACATGCAAACATAGACAACAAAGGGGGCATGAGCCTCTGCCCTTTTTTTTCCTTTAGAGAAAGGGCCCTTTTTCCAGGGTGCTTTTTTTAAAATAAATGAAACCACTTCTCCTACACAGTGGTGAGCACTGGAGCTGTGGACATTTCTCCATTTTTAGATGCATCGTAACATGAATGTGGACCCCGTTGAATAATTATAACCACTGCTGCTTCAGGACAGATGCACATTAAGGCCCAATCCCATTTCACCCCTTCTTCCAACCCCTACCCCTTGTTTTCTAGAGTTATCTTGCTCCTTGAAGCAGAGTTACAAGGGATAGTGGTTGAAATCTTCTCCTATGAATTGGGACAGCCCTTCAAGAAGCCATTACATCATCAGAAGTCATCGCTACAACCTGACACGTCATCAGTAGTTGTCGATGTAAACAGAAGCGACAAAAAGTGTTGCCAGGGATCTCATTATAATAACATTGTTGAGATCTTAAATATACCAATGCTATTGTTTTCAGTTATTAAAGTGACAAACCTATAATATCCTAATCACATCTATGCTAATGCAGGTGAATCAATGACATTCTCTATTCATCCATGGAAATTGAAAAACTTGAATGCTCTGCATTATTTTTTCAATATTAATCAAAAGCACACAGCTTCAGGATACTAGCAGTGGACTCTATGCAACCCTGCCAGGATGTATTGTTATTAGAGGAGCAGCTAAATTCAGTAACCTGAAATGGGATTGGGCCTAAATCGTGAGGCTAGTGAAGGTGCACCCCTCGTGAGCTCACAGTCACATCAGGCAGGCAGGCAGCACCTCCCACCTCCTGTCCCTGTTGTGGTGGTTTTTCATTGCTTGTGTGGAGCTGAGTTTTGATGAACAAAGGACTAAGCTACCAGTGCCTCCAGTTTATAGCTAATTATCCAAAGGACCAAAACAAATATAGTTAACTTGTGTCTTGCTAATATACACACCTGTGCTACTAGCTAATGTAATATGTTAAAGCATACAGGTTATTGTACTGTAGGGGAGAAACTACAGGTGAATACAGTCAAATTTGTTTCTAATAATGTCATCACAATCGCCAACCTGTTATGCAAATGATGCCTTAACTATTTAAAATGTGCCATGTTGCACTGCGGGTGAATAGGATAAAAAAAATAAAAAGACCTGAAACAAATCACCAGAGAACTCTCCCATTTAATGACTAACATGAGAAAATGTTCTGTCTAAATATGCAGATTAGCTTGTTCTGTGAACTTAGGAGAAATCTACAGATGCAAACAGACAGAGGGAAGTAGAACAAACACCACCTGAATGTGTATTTTTGGAGGTTTTCGTTCCGTTAGAGTGAAAGAAGACATGGAAGCAAAATAGACCAAAATCTCAAAATTGACCAGTAAAAGAAAAAACAATCTTCTTGCCTCTAGTGTCCTGCCTTAAACAGCAACTGCATCATTTTGATTGTAGGCTCCTCATCTATTAACTATTCATTCTGCTAGTTTGTATGTTGTCACCAGTTATTGTGTGTGTGTGTGTGTGTGTGTGTGTGTTATTCTAAATATAAACTAGAAACTAGTAGCATAGAAAACCTGCACAATGTGGCATAGTTCCCTTTATTGTTTCCTGCACCTAGTGATATTAAAGAAGACCCTTGTCTCAATGTGAACTGTTGAGTATTAAACAATTGTTTGAGGGTATTAAAATAAATTGATAAGTCAGAGATGTGCTACTATATTTAACATTTTGTTAAACCTTTTTTTAAAATAAATAATTATGAGAAGTGTACTTTTTCTCATTTGAGCCCCTACCTTCCAAAATGTCTGTACAGAGACATCTCTGTTACTGCTTCTGACTGATCTACACATTTCTGTATTTTTCAGGGTCTCAGCATCACGCCTCAAACTCTTTCCCTCCTTCTGTGTCCAATCATCCAGGTTAGAGACCATTATGCTGATTATTCAATGATAATGTTTCTTCTGATTTCATTTAGTATTTTTACCCTTTAAGCTGGCTGGAAAGTAAAAACATTTGTACATGATAGTTTGGTTTCATTTGTGAGGAATTTGGCACGTCGTAGTCTATTGATGTTTGTCACACACTCTGGTCTTTTTATCACAGCAGGACCAGAGTTTTGGTGCTCTATCTCCTACTTTGAAATGGATGTTCAGGTGGGTGAGATGTTTAAGGTGCCCTCCAGCTGCCCTGTTGTGACTGTGGATGGTTACGTTGACCCGTCGGGAGGTGATCGTTTCTGCCTCGGCCAGCTGAGTAACGTTCACCGCACAGATGCCAGTGAGAGAGCTAGGTAGGTGAAGACAAACACTCATCTGCTGTGACTCTTGAAAGTCCCCCCTTTAAAAAAATCAAGTTCTTAACGTTGTCTATGTGCTCATATGGTGCTTTTTAATATAAGTGAAACAGAAGCCACTACCATGGCTGAGCACTACCGCTTTAACTGAAGTGAATCAATGACAGTCAGGGTTTCATACTTCAGATACATAAGGAACCAATCCCATTAACGTGGAGCCAGGTGTTGCTTATTGTGAGGGAAGTTTTCTGTAAACTGGTGAAAGGAGAACTCAGGCAGCAGCTGATGTCTTACACAGAAGGGTACTTGATGTACATCAGAGACCCAGGATGAAACACTAGCAACATTAACAGAGTAACATAAGGCAATTGTCAAGCCCCCCAAAATCTGATGATGTCTCACACACCATCCCAATTTATCTCCCTCACCTTGCATCACCCGTTCCGATAGCACATCCACGAAAGCATGCATACCTAAATCACATTGTGTCCTTACGTCTAGCCACTGGTTTAACATGCAAAATAATTGGAGTTGGTGCCTCTCTGTCTGGGGTATCTAAATTGGGTAAGTCCTTCAATGTAGACACTACAATGTACTGCTAGTTGGCCATTTATCTATAAACTGACCTTGGGTATTGCTTGGAGAGAAGGGATTATGTGTGAAATGAGATAGGCTGTATTCTCCTCATGGTGGACAGATATTATGTATGAGAAGGGGGAAAAATTCTCTCACACTAATTATCAGTATTTTACAAGTTAAATTAGCTAAGATGGCTGTGATCAGGACCACATAAGAAAACCATGAGCTTGAGTTTGACTATGTAATGGAGCGGAAATCCTTCATATATTATTGTTAATTTCTAAATACCTTTCATACATCGCCCTGTAGGTAAGTAGAGATGTTTAAATACAAAAAAACCTTTTACGGTCCAAACATTTATGAAAAGACTCAAAATGAACACTCTAAGTGGGCTTAGTGTAGCTGTGCATGGCTGCCTGGGTGACAGTCCTGGACTTGGTGACACTGCTGCCGGGATTGTGCGCCGTCTCACGGCTGTGGAGATTTCTGTGGTCTCTGCGTCTGCAGCCAGGGACTGTTTATGTTACTTTATCGCAAGTCATATCGTCATTGCGATATTCAAGGTTATGGCATATCACATGTTTTCCTAATATTGTGCAGCCCTAGTCTAAAAGCAGCTTTACATACATTATCTCAAGGCACTTTACATAGCAAGGTGGCGATCAAGCCTCTGTGTATCTTGTCTGTAAACACTGGGGATAAGCAAATTAGCAGTAAACTGCAAAAGCTACCACCATTGGGAAATCCCACTTTTTATTTGAGACTGTGCTTGTATGACTTTAAATGTCTTGGTATGTTTAAAATAAATTTGGTTGCATGTTGTCCAGAGTCAGTGTCTATAGATGGTCTGAAAGGCTGCAGCGTTCTGCTCCCTTATCCCTTTCCAACAAGTGCTTTTACATATTGTTGCAATGTCTTTTCAAAGGCAACCACTACACAAAAAGCTGACACAGCACAAGAGAGCCAGTTCCTCATGCCAGGACACAGCAGTTCACTTACACCTAAAAGACAAGGGACACTCTTGATAATTTTGATGTACGCATTTTAGCCAGAGAAGACAAAGTGGAGTAAGGAAGCCATCTTTGTCAACCTGGAAAAACCATCACTTAACAAAGGGGGTGGTTTAAGACACCACCTTTCAGCCACTTCAATCTCCTAAGTTCTCTCCCCAGCTCAACACCCAACCTCACCCCAACTCAACCCTAATGACTGACACAATAGCATGGTGGGTCTACGACTTAAAGGTATCAACAGCCATTCACACCTTGACTAAGAAGACAAACGTCTTCAGGAAACACAAGAAAATCTAGTTGCCAGATGTAAATTTGTCTAACTTCTAAAGATTCCTTTGTCAAAGAGTATATCAAAAAGGTGTTTTCAGCCTGTGTCCTGCTCAGTATTGTGTAACCATATACAATTTAAATAGGAGATAATCCAAAATGAATGAAATATCATATATTTTAAAATAAGCTAATATAAAAGTGCACTTACATACAGACTAGTTAATTCAACTATTACATACTATTACTCGTCATTTCAAATGTATTGAAACGGACACATATACATGTGTACACACACCATTCCTGATGCATGTTTTTCACATGCATCAGAAAAAGTGATTCATACTCAAAATGACTGCATGCATACATGCAGGAACTTTTGGAAGAAACAATATCATAGGAATGTTATGCACTGAATGACATGCATTGAGCAGATACTCTATAATTTACCGCAGTTTCTTCAGACTATCTCCGCTTGGCCTTCTAGTACACCATAGAAATTCAGAAGAATTCCAAGTGAGAAAACAGCAAGGGACCAGGTGGATTCAATGCGAGGGAGTGGTGCGACAGACGCAAAAATGAAAAAAATCCAAGTGTATCCCATGAGTGGAAGACACAGTTGAAGATGTTTAGAGAGTTTGTGGTGATAACAGCTGACAACAATGTATTTGTGTAAAGAAAATCATACGATCTTCGCAGCAGAATTAATACGTCAGGACATATGAGGAGAAACACATCAAGAGCACACAGACAAAGAGCCGAGGAACCTGAAATGGTTATCGGATCTTTTATGTTTTGTTTAAATTTTAAGTTTGTCCTCTGGCTGGTGTCCTCTAATAAATAATGCTGAAAAGTGAGTGGTTTGACTCTGGCTGCTTTTAGGGGACCCCAGTGGCATCGTCAATTGCCACAAGGAGCTATGTTTATTCTGCAAAATATTGGCTTTGGCCAGGCTTACACATTCATCTTTCAGAATATGATTTTTAAAACTTTAAAACTAGAGGTTTAAAATCAATAGTTCTATTGAAACCTCAGAGGCTTAATTTAAATCTGGGAAGTTGAATTTAAAGGAGGAAATATCTATTGGAGAGCGGAGGGAAGCTTTTGTTGAGCCTCAGATGCAAGTTCTTCCTGTTACTCTGTAGACTCTCGTAACTCCTGTTCACTGCACTAAACTAAACCATCTCAAGCTGTGTGACTTAAAAAAATCCCAACTGAAATAATAATAACCTTTAAAATACATGAAGGAAGAACAACTAACTATTTCACCTGTCTGTGCTGATGTTTTTCTGTGTTCTAGGTTACACATAGGTAAAGGCGTGCAGCTGGAGTGTCGTGGTGAGGGCGATGTGTGGATGCGCTGTATGAGCGACCACGCTGTGTTTGTGCAGAGCTACTACCTTGACAGAGAGGCAGGCCGAGCACCAGGTGATGCAGTGCACAAAATCTACCCTGGAGCCTATATCAAGGTCTGAATTCAGCTTTCTCACTCACCAACGCACACGGAATTAATGATTATTATTTGCTGACACCATGTTTTGAAGAATGAATGGTACTACCCTCTCCAGATGGCCTATTCTGGTGTTATAATGCAGGCTGTGTGTGTGTGTGTGTGTTGGTCAGGTGTTTGACCTGCGACAGTGCCACAGACAGATGCAGCAGCAGGCAGCAACAGCTCAGGCCGCAGCTGCTGCACAGGCAGCTGCTGTGGCTGGAAACATTCCTGGTCCAGGCAGTGTTGGAGGCATTGCACCTGCAGTTAGTAAGTGTTGTTAAAACTTTATTTGATAATGACATACATACTGGAAGCCTGATAGAATTACAGAATTGTACGATTGGCACAACATTAGTAGCCAGAATATACAAAGCCAATTTTAGATTTTGCTTCTCAGTTTACATACAAGCTGTTAACAGTAAAGGATTTATATTTGTGCTTTTCTAGTTTTGATGACCACTAACAGTGCTTTGCATTACAGTTTGTGCCATTTACCCATTCACACATTCATACAGTGCATCTATGGGCAGCACTTTTTCTATGAGAATGGCACTGGGGTTACATTTGGGGTTCAGTATCTTCGCATTGCGGAATGGCGAACACCGCTCTAAGTTACAGCTGCCCTGTGCTGAGGAAGGTTGATGCAGCTTGTGAGAAGAGTCTGTAGATGCAACTTAGGGATGATCTCAATCCTCCAGCTCCTGAGTTTTCGGGTTTAAAGATATCTCACTATTTTCATTTAGAGATTTTCTTGAAAAGACTACAGCATATATGATGATGTATAGCTATATGAATGTGTGAATGTGTGGTAAAGATAACAATATAACTATTTTTTTGAGTGTTGATGTTGGAAATGGAAGTTTGAATTTTTCATCAACCATTTTTTTATCTAATCTAATCATTTTTATCATTAAGCATCAGGCCTCTAACAGGGACATTATAGCTGATTGTTGTGTTAACATAATGACTTATTTTCTTGATGTAGAAGAATGGTTGACATCACTGTGCTCTAATCACACACTCAACACTGCACATTGCATCAGAGGCACAGTGCTGTGTATCACTGATGCATACAATAGGGTTTGTATTTCATTAGTGAAATAGATTCAATAAACAGCAAGAAAAAGCTCATATTTCTTTACCTGGGAAATGTTAAGTGTGTGTGTGCTGTTCCACATCCACTAAACTGTGACATAATATGCGGGTACATGTGCTCTTTAGTTAATGGTGACTAGGTTGAGCTTGAACTATATGTATGACTGACTATAAGCTCCACCAAACATGGTCTTATGTGATTATAGGTCTGTCTGCTGCAGCAGGGATCGGTGTGGACGATCTCAGGCGACTGTGTATCCTGCGACTCAGCTTTGTTAAAGGCTGGGGGCCTGACTATCCTCGCCAGAGCATCAAACACACCCCCTGCTGGGTGGAAGTCCACCTGCACCGTGCTCTGCAACTTCTGGATGAGGTGTTGCACACTATGCCATTGGCAGACCCAGGGCCTGCTAACTAAAGACCAAGACAGCGTTCAAATTCCAATCAGGATCTCTCAATGTGTGCACACAGACACACTATTGGATTTCTTTTCTTCAGGCCAAATATGCTATATGTCTTGATACACACAAGTTATTTAATCAGAAACACACAGAAGACAAAAATGACCAACAACACATTATGCTTGTAACAATCAATGCACACATCACTCATGCTGTCTCACAGACATACACACACACACACACACACACACACACACGCACAAACACTGAAACCAAATGGTCTGTAGCTGCAACGCAGACATAAAAGTGGTGATATCTTTGGGATTTTTCTAATGCTTTAGTCTACAATCTATAGTCAAGTGCTAATGAGTTAGATCTGTGAAGGTAAAGATTTTGAGTTTGTCTTCTGACCAGTGTGTCTCTGTACTGAAGACAGTGCACTGTACAAATGCAGGGATGCGTTTCAGAAATCCAGTTTTCCAATATGCATTTTGGATTTCTACTCATTGTAGGAGTGTTCTGCACATGCACTCATGGAATAGATAGACATGTAGAGATGATGTATTCCAGTAGGTGACAACACTCCTGGACAGATACCAAGTGCATACCTCTGGAAAAGAAAAACGTCTGAGTGAATTCAAACAGTGTTTCAATTCTCTTTATGTCTTACAGCAGAAGTGATCTAGAAGTATGTGTTAGGAAGCCAGTGTTAAGTCAACTGTGTGCTTGTACTGCGCTCTTCACTATGTCCATCTCAACTCAAACTGTTATCCCTCTTATTACGCTCAGCCCGGACTATATTATTTTTGTACCAAAAGTCTAAAAAGCCAAAAATATTTAGCTTTAAAGAAGTGTTGTTGTTTTCCGTAAACAGTGCTACCCTGTATGTAACCAAATGCTTGGTGGAAATCACCAAAGCCAGAATACCTCATTACTACAGTGCAAAGTCACACTTCAGTTTTCCGCTTTGTTCAACATTGACAGACTGAGCTCAGGTCTGCAGTCAGTCTGAAAGGGTATGAGATGTCAGACACTGACTGGAATTTGTTAATAGGGAACTCTACAGATTTACAGCGGAGTGTACTTTTCAAAGAAGTTTCTGGGTACTTCTGGTACAGACTCGAGCCTGTGCATATGACACCAGTGCCTTTCTCTACTCTGGTCTGATCAGTTTGGATCACTAGCACGTCACTAGCAGTTCATCTTAAAAGGGAATTCCACTATTTTTCAACGTACGCCCTTTGTTGATAAATGTGGGTGTGTAAATGAATGGTACTTAAAAATAAAATTGGTAGTAGTTTGCCTCCACCGGCAGCCGCAACGTGGCATTGGCTACAATGTAAACTTATGGGGCAACTGCGACAGTCCATGAAAGTTTCACCAATAAAATGCTCAAATTGTTATGATGGATCTTTCAGTCTGGCAACACGAGACAGCAGCTTGACTCTTACCCAGAAGTAATGAGATTCAATGAGAATTCCAGTTTAATTTGATGTGGTGATTATTTAATGTACACTTCGAAAGGCACATCGACTCTCCTGTGGTAGACACCAGGGTTGACAGTTTAATCAATGTCAAAAGAATCTAATTTAGTCTGAAATCTATACTGTACCACAGTGGCAAATGGACTGTTGATCTAGATCCAGAGGTGAAGAAATGATTGGTGAGATGACTCATGTAGTTTGGATCTGTCAGGAAACTGAGACATTTACCATCTAATGCCGCTGCTTTACAAAGGTCAGCCATTAACACATGCATATTTGTGATTTGTGCCTTTTGTTGTCATAGATGCACCAACACTGGATTGTAAGAAGATTGATGTTGCACATTGTGATTTGGTTTTCAGCTGTTCAGAATCTATGATGATATTCTGTAGTCCCCTCAGGTATCTGTAGCTCATCAAACTGGTTTTTACCTGAGTAGTTTTGTTTATTGCCTTAGTCTTTAGTGAGTGTAAACATATGATATGGCTCTATCCTAATCTTAGCATGAACGCCACAACTAGATGTCATATTTATCTGCTCTCCTCTGCCCATATTCAGGGATAATGGTCACGCAGGCTTTCTCACATACGGAGCAAATTTACCACCACCACCTCCATCATCGTCATCATCATTGTCCTGATCTCTCTATAATCAATTCACTTGTTCACACTCCTGCAGTTTTAAACCCTGTTCATGAAAATCCACCCAGAGTTATCTGATCAGTGGTCAGCACTAAGTCCAGGTCTGAATGCAACCAAATGTTTCCTCAATGGGTCCCTCAGACCACATTCAGTGGGGCTTTTATTGCTGTATGAATGCAAATGTGTTCTCAGCCACATATTAAGGACTGCCTACTAAGCGGATGTCCTCTGACCCACTACAGCTTTACAATGAATATGATTGTTTTTATGATTCTCAGAGCTCATACATTGGTCTGCAATATGAACATTGATCACCATGTTATGAGTTATGTTTTTTTTCTCACATGGGTAAAATCTAGATTTACGCACTGCATCGATTCATTCAGCCCCTCCCAACTCTCTCATCATCATCATCATCATCATCATCACCATCAGCCTCAGACAAATCTGTATACTGAGACAGGGTTAAAACATAATTTAACAAAAAAAGTGTATTTGCATAGAAAGCAGTGAAGTGAGATCCTATCTCAAGTAGTCACAGGAGACACTTTTAGGATGCATTTTAATGCCAGGTGTGAACAGACAAACTTGACACAGTAAATGTGTGATCGGATTACATTAGCAACAAATAAAAAATAATAATGAATCAACCGACCACTTTGTGTCAACCACACAAAATGTTCTACTCACATGAGATATTTATTGTCCTGTTTATGGTTTGCGTTCTGCTCCCCACCAAGCAGGACTGCTTGTGTTGCTGCAGGGGAGGGTTTCGCACCTTACACTGGTCTTTTTTTGCAATTAATTCTCACCTCTCATTTTCACCTCTCAAAAAAGTACATTTTTTTCCTTTAGTTTTTGCATCATGAATAACAATAAAGGACATAAACCAAACTGTTCACTAAAGTAGCATAGGCTACACAACAACTGACCTCAGACAGCCTGCCATAGGCTGCTCTTATTCATCACATCCTTGGTGGGTAAAGACCTTTACAAAAACAAAACCTGGTCCTGGGTCAAGTGCACTTGGAGCACATCTGGAAATGTTCTAGAAGATGTTTCAATCAATCAATCAAGTATTCACAAATCACAATTGGTCTCATGGTGCTTAACCCTCAGAAAGAGTGAGGGAAAACTACCAAAAAGAGTCAATGACTGACTTTTTTATATTGTTTTCATCATTGGATTGAGTTGAGATTACAGAAGTAATCAGAAGGTCGGAAAAGATCCAGTAAGTGGAGTATCTATGTGCAGGTTACTGTAGGTTATTTATGTCACATTGGCATTCACTGAGTCAGGACTACACTTTAATGCTCAAGTTCTGAAAGTTATTTGTTTTTCCAGCCTTGCATGTGAGTACAGTAATGATGACTGTAGGAGGGACCACAGCTTTCTTGATCACAACCTTTATATCTGCTCTCAACAGCTGTGCTCAGTCTACAGCAGCACATCCTCCCCCGAGACTGTAGGGGCCCTAACCATTACACAGAGCCTGTCAATTAGGGGAAGTGTAGTGTGTTCGTGCACTAGCACAGAGGGCAGTTTCTCTCAGTGTTTATGTCATGCATTTGATTTGCTTGGGATAAATGCAACAGCTTTAGAAATCGGTTTGGGTTAAATATTCTAATATTTAATTCATGCATTTTTTAATCTCAGTATAAATGTTCCGGACACATTGTGAAACATTTCTGGATTTCATCCCAAACCAGAACCAATGATAATGCATTTATCATTCCAGACTGTTTTTTAATGTGAGACGACACACACCATACCATTTAAAAAACATTACATGGGTTTATTTGGACACTTAAAGAGGATTGAAAAGTAGGTAGTAAAAAACTGAATTTGGCTACACTAGAATATTGTTATTATTATTTTGGAGTTATTTCGTTGTAAACACGTGCTGCTCTTGTAATGTTGACTGGATATTAAAGTAAAATATTCAAACGTCATTGTCTTATTTGTACAGACTGAAAACGTATTGCTTTCATTTATGTCAGAGACGATGGTAAATAGTAAATTGTCTGTATCATAGCAGTGGTCTTGATGACCACTCAAAGCACTTTACAGTACAGGTTTCTGCCAATCACCCATTCTCACACACACACACACACACACACACACTCATACAGTGCATCTATGGGCAGCTTTTTCTCTATGAGGGACAATTCGGAGTTCAGTAACATGCCCGAGGACACGTCGGCATGCAGAAGAGGAGAACCATGTCAAACAGCCTCAACATGCTTCATCTACTCTCTACATACAACTTTTACAACTACAGCATGTACATGAATGCATCATTATGTAATTACATATGAACTGCATATAAATATGATCACAGGTTATTTATTCACAAGTTAGTTTTTTCATTTGTACCAACAAAACTACACACATGACTTCCCACCTTGGAAACCTGTCACAGACAGCGTTGCAGAGGAAGAAGTAAAACACTCTCATACTCATAACAAAATTGATTACTTATTTTTTTACTTTATTTAAGCATAATGAAAATAATAATAGCCTTGTTCATCCTCACTAGCAGATGTCATTGCAGGGAAGGATAACAGGCCACAATCAACAGTGTCAGCACCAACCACCAACAGTCTACACCCTAACTCCTCTGCTGCTCCACCCTCAAGACAGACCCACAGAGAGGAAGAAGACATCTCATACAACAACTGTAGGAGACTGTGAGGGCCCTGGACAACACCAAACCAAAATCAATCACAGCACCCAGTGAGAGGTTAAAGGAGATTGACCAGGACCAGGTGGACTTTTGAGTTGAGATGATTCTGTGACACACAGGTATGAATGAATTTACTGCTCTGATACAAAAGAGACTGTATTGTCCGGACCTCCAGTGTCCAGTGTTAAAGAAGACCCAAACCATAACCCACAGGGGGTACTGATGAGAGCAGTCAAGTGGTGAAGCTGGATGTGACATTTGGAACACTGATTACTTGATACTGTAGATCCACCCTGAGGTGGGATCAGCATTCAACACACAAACACTCACACTGAGGTGAACACAAGGCACAGTTAGATACAGGACACAAATGAAAACCCCATTTGCAGTCACCACTGCTCAACCTGTTTGGAGACCATGGTACATGTTTTGCTGCCAACCTCTGTGAATTGACATCTCTTTTGGACTAGTGCAGTGCTGTACTAAATGTGTGTTTAGAACGGGCTGTTTAATTGGCCTGTGGCAATGCTGGCTGCAGCTTTGCTTCCCGAAACTGGAAACAAATTCCAAACAGGCAGGGTTAAAACGGCCACTACATTAAGATTCGTCTTTATGGTCCCACACACAGCATGAAACATGCTGACATGGGGAAATCTGTATTTAACCCATCCGAACGGAGCACACACGGAACACAGTGACCACACACAGAACAGTGGGCAGCCATGAAGGCACCCGGGGAGCAATTGGGGGGTTCTGTGCCTTACTCAAGGGCACCTCGGCACTGCCCAGGAGCTTAATTGGCACCTCTCCAACTTCTGTCCATGCTGGACTTGAACCGGCCACCCTCCGGTTCCCAAGCCAAGTCGCTATGGACTGACCTACCTCCCTTCATTGTTATGAGAATGTAATAAAAATGATCCAAAGATGAGGGATGCATCATATTAATATGTATGAGCTGACAAAACTTTGTGAAACTATAGACTATTATATATTGTTCTCATGAAGTGTGGTGCGTTTATTCAGGTTTATAATTTACAGATGGATAAAACTAAAATCTCACCATTTCCATCTTTTCTGAGACAATGTGATATTGTAAAACAAAAATGTCTGACCACATTTTTCATACACAGGATTAGAGTCCTGATATCATTACATTACCCAATCCGTTTTTTTACAAAAATAAGTAATACTTAGAAATTCGGTTATGTTTTTCCGAATTAATGTGATGACTCAAAATCCTATTACTTTGAGTTTGAACAATCTCAAACTAATAACAATTTCAATTATATTATAAAGTAGTATAGTGTGTGTGTGTGTGTATGCCATAAATGATTACATTTTGTGGTGAAGACATGTTTAAAGTTTAGATTAAGGTTAGTGTTATGCAACACATGTAGGGATTTTCACCAAACTTGATGTGAAGCACAAAGCTGTTTCATATACGAAAATGTTTTCCACAGAATCCGTCAACAAAGATGTTTATATATGACAATTGTGTAGCTGCTCTCCTTGTGCTTCCCTGAGTCTCTGTAGTGTTGCTGTTGTGTGTAGAATCTAACAATAAAAAGGAGCAGATGCAGTTTCATCCTCCGCACAGCAGGTGGCGGCTGGCGTGTAGTCGATCGTTAAAGGAAGAAGGTGGAACGCGGATATCCGTCAGATAATTGGTGGAGGTGCTGTGGCGTGACGTGACCTCAGAACATTGCTTAAGCAGACGTCCCCTCCAGTCCGGTGCACTTGTCGACCAGCGGGAACAGCAGCGGGTTGTCTGCTGCCTCCACACCTGTTAAAAGCAGCGGGTTACCGTCACACACCGAGCAGCCGGTATGGACTCGTGGCTCCGCTTCTCCGCTCAGAGTCAGGCCAAGGAGCGACTGTTCAGGTAAACACACCCAGTCCTCCACTCAGGACACGTGCTCAGCGTGTCCTCCTGCCATTGGTCATGACTGACCTCAGTTTGACCCATAGGTTGTCACGCAGCTGTTGTCATAGCAACAGGTCCTCAATCCCAAACTTGTTAAGTGGAATGTGGAAGTTAGTTCTAGTTTTTGAGTTATGTATAATTCATTATTAGACTGACACCTACATCTTAGTCTCCTGACCCAGTGCATGCTGGGAGGCTTCCCAAAAACACCTACCTCCCATACCCGTGGTCATATTTTATATCACTGTGAACTCCGGAGAATGTCCGCAGAAGTAGGTCTGTACTTTTTTACTTTCACCAAAGTTCACCTTTCATGTATGAGCGACACAGCAGGAGATTATCCGGTCAGCCGTACCACAACAGCACAGGACTCTCCGGAACGTTCAGGTGAGGGGGGGCACAGCAGGCAGAGCACGGATGTAGCGCATTCATTTTTCCGTGGATACCACCTGTTTTGGTTTACTGCACATCAACATTAGCATCGTCTCTAATCACAAAAAGCTCTCTTGACATCCTTTGTCTGTGTCTTCTACATGTGTGGCATGTGAGATATATTTTTATTTGAGTGTTTTTCATTTTTGCGTCAAGAGGAATTATCCAGTGTTTTACAAGTGGGCTGGCCGGAGAAACTCGAGAAAGTCCGGAGATTGTCTTTCGGACAATTTGCATTCTCACATACTGCCCCTCCAGAGAATGTCTGGAGATTTTCTGGAGTTCATGTCTGAAAGCAGTTTAATAGAGACACTCTTCAATAATTTACTTTGCATGGTGTTTGTGTCCATCTAATGGTGAACCTTAGCCTTCTTCATGAAAGAGACTGACAGTGTGCTGTGACTCACAGGGCTACTCAGTATGCCTGCACCCTGTTGGGCTACACCCTACAAAAGGGCGGGGCAGCAGCTGAACTCCGCAAAACCATCAGTCAGCTGGAAGCACACATGAGCCTGACCAGAAAACGTGAGTGCAGCAGCCAATTTTGTCGTTTGCAAATACCAAAGCTGAAAGAGTGTGACTGATCTGTCTGTGTCCCAACAGTGCTGCGTCTGGGAAACTCTATTGAGGCACTGGAGGCGGCCAAGAGGGCCATACACCTCTCTGACGGCGTGCTGAGGCTCTGTCTGACCATCAGCCACCTCAACAGAGCCATGTACTTTGCCTGTGACAATGTTCTGTGGGCTGGAAAGACAGGCTTTATCTCCAAGCTGGACCAGCACAAATGGAGTCAGAGGTCTTTCAGGTGAACCAGGTTCTTGTTTCTCTCTTGTCTACATGTACCTTATAATGACCAACTTATCTTCAGCACAAAGAACAACACACATCACTTAACTCTATTTGCACCAGCTATGTATCCACTAGTTTATGTGGAATTGGCCAACATGTACTCATCACTCTGAACACTCTGCAGGTACTACCTTTTTGCTCTGATCCTCAACCTGACTCGAGATGTGTATGAGCTCCGGCTCCTTATGGAGAGTGAAGCGCGGTACAGAGCCGCCAAATCCCCACCCTCTCCCTACCCCAGCACCGCTCTGCCTGATGACCCACTGTCGTCCTCTGCCACTCCGGCATTACCTGCCATGTCTATGTGGCTCCGCAGACAGCTCCACCTGATAGTGACAGTGCTGTACAGCAACCCGCCGCTGCTCTTGGACCTGCTGAAGAACAGCTGCGATATCTTCATCCCTCTGGAACGGCTCGGGATTTACCCCACAGGGCCGGGCTTTGTTGGGGCCTGTGGCTTGGCCTCCTCTGTCCTCTCTATCCTTACCATGGTCCACCCCTGGCTCAAACTCAAGCCATGAACCCAGATACACAGTGGAGAGGTCCTAAGGAGCCACAGGGAGGACTGTGAACTAGCAGTAAACCCACTGATCGCCCTGTGAAGTAAGGCAAGTTCTGAAATGATAGCAGGGCATCCAAATCCTGGAGACAAGCCCAAAATAAGTGACGCTCAAGTTTCTTTGACTCAGCATCAAAAACTGCTAAACACCTCCCGGCCTCAGAGCTGATCGATAGCAGCTCTGCTTCAATAGGTCCCCTCTATGCTAAGGTGTAGTGATGCTGCACTAAGCCATGACATTGGAAGACTCCTCGCTTGATTATTCTAATGATTGTGGTGTGTTGCATGTGTAACACAAGTTTCCGTCTGTTTAACTGATCATCAGCCACTCTAATGGCGTTTGTAGGCATCACCTTTATTCATATTAGAGAAGTCAAACAGTGACATACTGACCCAGGTGTTCATTTTCAGTACGTATTACTAGCAGAGCTCTTGTTAGCAACTCATGTCCAAATAAATGTGTTTTAGGTTGGAGTCTCTCTTGGGACCTCTATACCCTGTAAGGTGTCATTCAGACAACATGTAGTTTTTAAATCTTGTTGCATAAAAAAGGCAAACTGCACATAACCATAATCCAGTGGTGGTCAGCATCATCTGCCATGAAACTCTTATAACACATCTTCAAAAGGGTTGTGGGCAACAGTCTACTTAATGAAGGGGAAAACCTCTAGATCAATCGGTCTCATTTGGACCCCATTCACAGCACTGCTGTGTGGATGGTAATATTAGGACCTTGTTATAGAGAAAATTTAATTGGTATTATTTGAATGTGTCAGACACTCATCCTTTCTATAAAATGTTTAATGTCAGTTCACAGGCATAAGCTATCTGTGGGGTAGAAAAGAATCCTCGTCCGATCCAGCTCTCTTATTATCTTCTTAATTTGGCACAAACAACAGGACTCAAGCTAAATTAAAAAAAAATCTTTACTATTAACTAATACAAAGAGGAGGTACAAACAACACAGGCAAAGTAAAACCAGTACAAAAAAAAAAAAGAGGCGTTCTCTCTGTGCACATCATGGGACCAGTGACCTTCAAGTCCAACACTTCCTGCCGCTGTCTCTGCCCAGGGAGGGGTTCCTCATCAACAACCAATACCCACTGTGGAGAGAGAACAGTACACAAGTGAGTAAATTCACCTATGATGTGTGTGTGTCTGTAGATGTACATGACCATGGCTAACTGACCAATATCGAGCAGTTTATTTATTTTCTTTATTGACATTATTACTGTCACTGCTAAAGGCTACTGCACATCAGAGGATAATCAAACATGTTTGATATTTGCAATAATCGGCTCAGACAGAAAAACAAAACAGCCAGCATCACCAGACGGAGGTTGGGTACTTGTACAGCTTCGACTAAAAACAATACATTTCTTCTCGCCTCCAGTGCTGCGGACAAACCCTTCTCAGCCATGACTACATCCACATAGGGGTGTGTGATATGTATGGTCTACGATAATATCTTTATTGTTGTTTAAGAATGTGCGAGCTCACATTATCAAGTATTGGGTAGAGCATACGCCCCTTGAGTGAGTGAGGGAGAGCCAGGGTCTCGCACGAGCTCCACAGGCCGAGCCGTGGTGCGCCAAGCCTGGATACAGGCACATGGAAAGAGCGCTCCTCTCCACTAGCCCAGTATGTGATGACAATAAATCATTTTTCCAGCGTTCTAGAGATCACAAAGCCTGCCGTCTCATTCAGTGTGTGGGCGTGGGTCTCTCAGCCTTATCTCTCTCTTTTTCCTTCCCTCTCTCACTCTAACTCTCATTCCGGACAGAGGGTCAGGCTCCACCAGTGGTCAAATTATTGTTATCGGCAAATCCCAGAAAATAGAGAGAACACATTTTTTTGTCAATATCGCACGCCCCTACATCCATTTTCTTCTTTGATTTGCGCTGCAAAACAGGACACGATGTTGCACATACATGTTTGTAGTCTTCTTCAATAACGCAAAATTCCCACACTCCAGTTCAGAAAGTTGTGGTAATGCACCTAAAAGTTGTTTCTGGGAGATTCCAAGTCTCTGGAATCACCACTGTGAATTTTTTTCTATAACAGTGAGTGTGTGGTCTTAAATTTATCCGATTTTTTTTATATAATCGTCAGAACGCACACACTAGATGATTTGGCCAGAAAGTATCATGTCTGTGGTCTCCCACGGTTTTTTTTATCAGTCAAGAGTTGAAAGTCCTAATGTGCACCAGGCTGTACACACTGTCAAATAGAAAGCAGAATTAGAAGAACTATTATAATTGAAGTAGGGAATGTGTACAGTAGGTGAGCTGCTGAATGTTTGTAGGTGGTGGTAGAATGTGGAGATGCTCTAACCTGAGCCCATCACTCCTGGGTCTCCATGCTCTCATCCTCTCCATCTCCTCCCTCCTCCAACGCTTCATCTTCCTCCTCCTTCCTCTCTGGAGGTTTCTCATAGGCCTTCTCTGATGGGGTGACGATCACACCGTCCCATGTAGACATCTCTGTTGCCAGGTCTGCAAAAACATTATTATTGAGAGCTGCTACTTGATGTTGGAGACACTCATTGTTCAGATGTCACTGATGAAACTATGTAGACTATTATCGTCATCACTGATGCTACAGTGTTTTCTACACAACTAGTTGCCAGGGTAAGAAGTCAGATTGGTCGGAGTTGCTTATTGCAATTAGCTAATGAGCACAGTCCTGGCACAGAGTGCTGGGTCTGTCTCATGACAGGTACTGCCCACTTGTTGAGAATGGTTAAACCATTGGTGGATGTCTGAATACATGTTTGTGAGAGTGTGACAGCACTGCTCTACAATAGAGCGAAGGCAAAAAACAAGTCACAAATGCTATGATGGCAAAAGTAGTGTAAAAAAGTGTTTATCATGAAACTGTGGTGGGACAAATGAGGCTACTGTGTGCTGCCAGTCTAAGTAATTGTTGGGAAACACCAGTAGTTTCTTCCTGGAAGATGTTGCAAAAAAACAACAGTGGCTATGCAGCCTTCAGGTAATAAATAAAAACAAAAGATTTAACATGATAAACAGAACATTGGCATGTAGTATGAGATTTTAGTTATAGCTCAATAACTACAAACACTGACACACCTATATACTGAGTAAGTGTTCTACCCCTGCAGTAAACAGGAAACCTGTCATAGTGAAAATGAGATTCTTACAGCTGGCATCTCCCTCCAGGCCAAGGATCTTCCTGTATCCTCCATGAGAGAGCACCCTCACCAGAGACTGAGCTGTGAAACAAACCATGTCCTGCACAAACGCACACAAATTACATTTACTCACCGTCACCGCATTCAGTCTAATTTACGATGCTGTGACCCATACAGGATCTTTTGAGGGAATACAGATGTGTGTGATAGATGTGCTATGCCTTCTACATCACCATAAACAATTCCAGTTAAACAGCAGGAAAGGAGTTTATCCTTTTGAGATGTCCTAAATCCAGCAACCTGTATCTTTGGCAATTAAGGAGCAGGATCACACCTACCTGCTGTTCTAGAGTCATGACAGTGTGCACTCGGAAGTTTCCACTCTCACAGGGGTCGGTGATGCCCACAGAGCCAGGCAGAAAGAGACCAGCAGCCAGCATCTGCAGGCAGCGCCTTAAAACACAGTCCAACACTAAGCTTAGACACAGTGTCCCATCTGTGGTGACGATACAAAGGTGAGACCTGAGGTGAAAGGCAACCAACCTGTAGGCCACATTCAGGGACAGGGGCTGCCTGGATGGGTTGTTCATCACTGCAGAGTGGCCCTGCAACACATTGTGTCCCCAGTATAGCATTAAAGGCCTAAGATGTACATGTTGTCTTATCAACTAAGAGGACTTAAGAGTCTTACAAGCAAGTCCAGGATCCAGGGAGTAAGGGGTTCAAAACCAGGGAAGCGAAGCCTCAGGTCCTTCAGCAGGCGGATCAGCACTTTGACCCTAAAGATGAATAATGCATTGAGTTAACATTATGTTTAATTGATGTTTGTATTGTGAGGCTGTGCCTTTGCATTAATCTGCTTTGGTGACAGAAAACTAGATTTACTCACGTTGACTGAGAGGCATTCTCCTCAAACCAGCGGGCGTGGCGGATGGCAGCGAGTGCACTCTGCAGCACCTTAATGTCCACTGAGGAGAACACAAGAACACATTGAATGCAAGTATTTAGGGCTGAATTCCAACCAGACCTTGGACTACATGCTTCCTCTGAATGCAATTACAAATACAAGATAAAGCCCTGAAATAAATCACAACATTGATCAACATAGGAAAAATGATCTGATTTGAATTTGGTCACACATTTAGAAAACTGATGTATATAATTTGGTAAAGACCGAATAAACCTGTAAGCTGTCTTTAAGAATTTTAGCATTCATTCAAGATGATGGGAAACTGCATGGGTGAACACAGCAATGACTTACACTCAAACATCTAATGAAGAGATAATTAGTTACTACCACCTACATGTATTCAATATTTTAAAAGCAGCTGGTGGTCTCTTGATGGAGTTCTGTTCACCAGGTAGCAGTGAGGCTCTGATGTATTTGCTCTAAAGGTACTTCTGTACTGAAAATATGTTCAGGCAAAAATGAAAAAACTACAATTAAATGATGAATGAGATTTTTTTTTCCATCAACATGCTAATTAAAAGACAATAATGCACAGAATGCACTGCTGGCTACACTATCCTATTGTGTCCCATTTACAAAAAACTTGGCACAACCCTACTGCATTGTCAGTGTACATCTGTGATGGTATGTGTGTTCTGTAAGCTTTACAGTGCAGCTCAGGGTCCAGCTTGCGCAGGTTGGGAGGAACGGTTGTGATGAGGATCTTGACGGTGGCATCAGCTGAACTGATCTCGAAGCCCGTCTCGTTGGTCAGCATGGATAGCACTGAAAAAAGCAGATAAAAAGTCAGCTGCCAGTCATACAAATATTCATTTAGTCTTAAAACACTGTGTAAATGACCTCGTTTCGAGTGGAATATAAATGTCGAGCTGAACTAGGTCATTTACATTGTGTTTTTTTCTGTTTTACTACATCTGAAGAATAGCTCACCATCGACTTCAATTGTATTGGATTCTGCTGCAACAAGGTTTAGCCCTGATACTCCTAAAGTGTTTAGTGGACTCAAACACTTCTTGCACCCCTCCATCTGCATAGTGCTGAGTAGATGAGTGAATTTTCAGTTTTGGGTTCACTATCCCTTTAAAAGGTTTACTGTTTGAACTAGCTCTGAACCAGCACTGGCAGCAGCCCAGCATTAGGTTACCTTTGATGGAAAGGAGATGCCTGTGTCCCACTTTCTGTCTGGTGCGATCTACTCTGATGAGACTCCCTAAGTTGCTACGCAATATGAAAAATCAATTTTCATTACATGTCTTGCTTTTCAAAGACTATGCAGACAATGTATGTATCTGAAAATGTGGGATATGCCTTCTACCTGTTAGGAAGTGAGGAACTCTGCCTTACCTTCAG